ATTGGTTTGTCAAGCCAGTCGGTCGACCAGCTGCGCCCTCGAGGCAGGTGGGATCTGATGGCACCCCGGCCGTCCTTGTAAAATACCAATGCAAAGTGGCCGCGGGGCGGCCGCACAAGCTCAAAATGTGTAGGCAGAGTCAGAGTGCGTTTTGTAATGTTTTTGTTGACAAGGATGGTGTGGGGGGTGGTCATGGGGTCCTCATTGTTCCGGGTTGGCTGCTGGGCGGGTGGGGGAGGGGGTATATGTTCATAGGGAACAATGATGAGCCCCTCCCCCGAAGGGGACGAAGGGGGTTGGAAGAGTAAACCCGCTAATCCAATCACGTCCAAAAGTGATGGTGGGATTCTGACGATACACGAGGATCACGAGGAGGGGAGGAGGAGGAGGAGAAGGAAGAGGAGCAGGAGTAGGATGCGGAGGAGGAGGAGGAGGAGGAGGAGGAGGAGGAGGAGGAGGTGGAGAGATGATGAGGGAGTTTGAAGATGAGGACGAAGGCGCGGAGCCCAGAAGGGGGAGGAGAGGGGATGCCGAGGGAAGGAGGAGGAGAAGGAGGCCGAGGAATGAGGATGACGAGAATTGGGCGGAGGATGGAGGCTCATTTATCCATTAGGCGGCTTAGGATGTGGACGAGGACGAGGAGGGAGATAAGGAGGAATATGTGTGGGTGGATGTCTCCAAATCTCTCCAACCCAATCTCATCCGATCCCAACCACTCCCAACCGCTTTACCCTCCCTGCCGCTTCACTCCTAGCCTTTACCGTTGCCTGCTTCCTCGTCTCTTCCCTCCGTTCGCATCATCATAATTCTCATCATCGTCACCATCATCAGCAGCATCATCACTATCATTATCATCATCACCAGCACCATCATCGACGTCAACATTAACATCACAATCAGCATCATCATCGTCATCCTCCTCATACTCATCACCACCATCAGCATTGTCATCCTCATCACCCTCGTCACACTCATCACCACCCCCATCACGCTCATCATCATCACCATTATCATCATCATTATCATCATTATCATCAGCATCACCCACCTCACCAGCAGCAGCATCATCAGCATCAGCATCAGCAACATCATCACCACCACCACCACCATCATCATCATCATCATCATCATCATCATCATCATCATCATCATCATCGTCATCATCATCATCATCATACTCATCAGCATCACCACACCATAGATATCATCATCGCCTTCATCACCACAATAATCAACATCATCACCATCATCACCACCACCATCATCAACCCCCCTCGTGGTCACCATCTGGAGCAGCTTGGGGGGCTCAAGCTCGAACCCGCCCCTCTGAAGTCCGCTGCCGCCCAGGCCTGCGGCCGCGAGCGGCCGCCGGCCCTCTTGGGCTCGAGCACTCTTGGCCGCGAAGACACTTCAAGATGGTCGCTGCGAGGGTGGTTCCAATCGGCCTCGCTCAGGAAGCGATGGCACGGCTGTGGGCGGTTGCGGCAGTCGATTTGGCCATTGCGCCGTTCCGCCGTTGCCCACCAGCCAGAGTTCTACGGTGGGTTCGTGTCGTGTCGGCGCGGCGACGACCGCAGCGCGGGCGTACCAGGGTGAGTGCCGCCAGTGGCGCAGAATCGTGTAGTCTGGAACGACTTTGCCATCGAAGAGTCGCCCACCGTTCAAGGTTGAGGGATCCCCGCGGTGGCAGAAATCACGGCCGGAGTCGGCGCGACACGAACCTGCCGCAGCGCACGGCCCCGAGCGCAGTAGGGGCGCAGCGCACGGCCCCGAAGTCGGCGCTGCAGGGGCGCAGCGCACGGCCCCGAGCGGGAACGGCGGCACGGCCGAGCCCCATATGACGACGACCACGGGTGCGGCACTGCAGCCTTACGACGGCGGCTGCAGGCGTAACCTGTGCCCACAGTGCTGCTGGAAATCGCTGTGCGATTCCGCCTGAGGGCGATGGCGCTGCCGTGGCCTCCGGTGGAGCTGATCCAGGTCAGCGCGGCGCTCCTGTATCGTCCACCGAACATGCTTGCGTCCAAACTGCTGTAAGATGGCATCACGCAGTTCTGCTCAGGAGTCATGTTGCCGCCGTGACCCAGGTCTGACTTGTACCCCATCTGCCGTCGCTTCACTCATTTCACAGTCCTGCCCAGTAGTAATGGTGCAGCTGGTGCCTCTGGCGACGATCGCTTCGGACAGTGCACATTTCAGTGCCGTCGATGGGCCTTTCTTACATACGAGAGACTGTAGGATGTTGCCACGCTGCTCCGCGTAGGAGCGATGGCACAGCTGTGGCCCGTGGTGGCAATGATCTCTGACAGCACGGCTCTCCGCCATCATCTGCACCTCTAGCTTGCACTCGGGTTGCCGCAGAAGAGGGTAGCACGGCTCTACTCAAGAGCGATGGCGACGATCCTCGCGGACGGTGCGACCTTTCGGCGCTGGTTGCCGGATAGAGCTGAGCTACGTCGCGCACGGCTTGTCGCCTCTGGTCTTACATGCACCATTCGATGGTGACTCGTTGCGCTTCCCAGGGCTGTCTGGGGAGGGTGCTGGATCAGAGCAGATCGGCCCACCACGACCTCCAGGCTTCCAGCGGTCTGGCGGTGGCCGGCCCTTTATCCCCCATCTCGGGACCGTCTGTGAGGACTCTCGGGCATTTCCTGGGAGCCCTGGGGCCGTCTTTGGTAATTAGATATTTGGGGCCCCTGTGCCGTCTTGAGCGCGCGTGAGGCCGACATGGCAAATATGTTTCAACCATGCCGACGGCTCAGGTTTCTGGCCCAAGGGATCTCCAAGGCAGCTCCAGGGCGGACCCCTTGGGACACGACGGAGAACACAGTGGTGACGCGCGGTGAGCGTGACGAAGGCCTCGTTTTCATGGAGCGGAGCTCGCCGCTCATATGCTCCCGAGCGCTACGCGATCGATGAGTGTAAGTGCCACGGGACATGTCTACGGTCGGGTACTGCCCAGGATTTGGGCGCACTGCTCGGGATCGCCCCGAGCGCCTCATCACGAGTTCTATGAAATGTTCGACCGCTCTGCGTTTGGGGTGCTTCCTTGTCTGCATGTGTGGATTCCCCGTCGAAGGCAAGATATGTTCACAGTGCTCGATTTGTCTGTAGCTGTCGTGATGTTTGCGTCACTGGGGATAAGTCGGCGTCGCGTTCCGGTGGTGAAACAAAACATGTGGCTGCAGTCGGATGCGGACGGTAGGTCGACCCTGCAGGATCAAGGCTGCCCTTGTGTCCTGTCTGTCACGTCTCGTGCCATCTTCCTGTCTGGGGCCCGGGTTGCCCTCGGAAGAGTCTTGCGTTCTCTTGGGTGTCCTGTGCAATCAGTCCAGACTGTGGCTCCTCATTCGGTATCCGCCGTGCTGCGTGATCCACTCGCAGACGCGGTGCTGCTGGCATCCAGCACGGCTTCCGCAGGAGGTGCTCCCCAAGAGCGCCTCTGGGGCCCCGTGGACGGTCACGCACACAGCCGTAGCACCGAGGGCACTCCGCTCGGTGCGCGAAGCAGATCTCACAGGAGCGACAGGTACCGATACCACTACCGTTTGCTGAGGTTTTGCCTTTTTTAGGCTTCCTGGGAAACCCTCATAGCCACGGCTGGATGCAAGTCGAAGTGTTGGTCACAACGCACCCTGGGAGAGGCCCGGGCCAGTAGCAGCATCGGTGTCTTGTGATCTTCCTAAGCTCTTCCTTCGCGAACATGTCTCACTCTTGCAGTTCGTCGCAGCAAGGTGCGAGCGGGACGGGGCATGAGGTTCTCGAGGCTGGATGATTGTGACGCCATGTCAACCAATCAGTCGATGAACCATCTCACGGATTGATCGGACGAGCCTTTTTAAGTAAGACATTGTGGTATTTGGCGATGTGTGCGATCGTTTCCGCCGTACCCTGCCCAGCGTGGAGCTGGGCGCTTACTGAGGGTGCTTCGCAAACGTGAAATAGTGACACTGCTTTTCCTTTGTCAAGCCTCACCGTGGCGTGAAACAACCAACTAAGCAAGCAACCAGTGAACGGTTCAACATCTCGATCGGGCAGTCAAACTACCAATCGAGCAACGACACCTTTCAACCAACCACGCAATCGGTGAAGCAAGCGGCAAATCAATCAACCAATTGGAACGGCGCGCATGTTTCATTTGACGTCGTTCGGGGAGGGAGGGCGGGGTGAATTGTGCTCTGGTGGCGCTGAGAACGCCAGGAGTCAGCGCCTCCTCGTCCTTCTCCTCGTCCTCCTTCTTGTCCTCCTGCTCATCATCTCCTGGGGGCGGGCTAGTGGGGATGGTGTGTCGTAGTATGCTTCTTGGGAATGGACACAGTGGCGAGAGTCCGGACGGGGCGCTGGCGCCTGAGCGTGCCTCTCCCTCCTGACCCGTGCCTCCCTTGACAGGATGCAGTGGCGATAGGCTTGACGTGGCAACTCGGCGCGCAGCCACATCTTTACCTTTTTGTGAATCCTCCTGGCTACCTCGCCAATTTTTGTACCTGGCCACCTCCTGGCTACCTGTTCTGGCTACCTCCTCCCTCCTGGCTACCTTTTTGTATGTCCTCCTCCTTTTTGTATCTCCTCTCCCGATGCCCATCATGGCGCAGGCAGGGCATCTCGCCCTCCGCCCGCTGGCAGCCTGTGCAGCTCTCGCCTGCGAGGGCCCAACAGGGCGCCCTGGCAGGCCTTGGAAAAACTCTCGTCTGTCCCATAGGCCCTGCATCCACATCCATACTACGAGGTCCAAACATGGACACCACCACCACCCTCACGCCCTCCCTCTCCCAGGAACGAGGAGAGGAGGAAGAGGGTAGAGGTGGGAGGAGGAATCGACGTGGTGGTGGGGTATATGCTTGGGACCCGCACATCATCAGGGACACTGCAGGCTTGTAGTCCATCGACTGGGAGCCCGCCCCCTGATCGCCTTCGCCCTGCTCTGCCTCGTCCACCTCTTCTGCCTGCTCTCTCGCTCTGTGCCCCTCTCCTCACGTTCTGTTCTTCCCGGCCTGCCCGAGGCGGAGGCGGGGCTGCCCCTGATAGAGGTCCTCTACAGCCTGCGGGCCCTCAAGAACGCCGGCAGGGACACGAAGCCGCTGCTGGAGCAGTGGCGGCCGGAGGGGGCCTTCGCCCTCAAGGAGCGCAGCCGGTGGGAGGCGGGCGTGGCCCGACGGAGAGACAGCTGCACGAGCATACACTCTTGGAGCTCCGCGCGGATGTCTTGCATCGGCGCGGGGCCACCCTCCAAGGCGGCGCCGGGGGCGCGGCCAGGGGGGGCCCAGAGCCAATCCGAGGAATCCGAGCGGAGCTCTGGCAGCCTATGTTCTGTGTGCGTGTGTGTGTGTGTGTGCAGTTTTCGAGCAGGGGGTCGATGACAGAACTGGTTTGACCCAGTTTCGCCGAATCTATGAAAGATGCGACGTTTATTTTGTAGATTCGACGAGGAAGGCAAGTTTGGGGTAAACGAATCATGTAGTCGATCCCCTACTCTAAGTCTGTTTTTCCTCCGGTGGCGGAGGGGGGGGTTGAGCTGCGCTCCGTTGGATGCCAGGGTCTGCCTGCAGTCCGCAAGGACGGCCTCTGCTGCCATGGATTGCGGCCGTTTGTTGCTCACTGTGCACATTGTTCATGTCTAATTCTTCGGACATTTTTCGAGTTTCTGGGGGGCCAAGATCCTTTCATTTCTGATCTATCTTGGGCCTCTTCCTGGCCACTGGGGGGCCAGGTACAATTAGAAACGAGCAGCATTGGAAAGGAGCACGATTAGAAATGAACGACGTGTAGTCGGCTGGATCGACTTCAGGATCCCCTGGGGTTACCAGGCGAAGCTCGTTGGCACTTCGTCCTCGAGGCCGCCTCCCCGCCCCCGAGCACCCGAGCGTGAGATGCGCGCCCGAGCTCCTGGGCGCGGCGCTAACGCACGTCGCGAATTTCATGATTCATTGTTGTTCGGCGCCTGCGGCGGGTTTTCTTATCCAATCCAGCTTATCTTATCAAATCCGTCGTGACCAATCCAATCCATCTTATATTATCCAACCATCTTACCCCATATTATTTTATTCATCCAACCCAATCCAATCCACCCAACCCAATCCATCAATTCATTTGTTTTTGCGCCTGCGGCGGGCCAATCCAATCCATCTTTTCTTATCCAATCCATTTTTTCCAATCCAGCCATCTAATCTTATCCAATATATCTTCTCCCATCAAATCCAATCCACCCAACTCAATCCATCAATTCATTGTTGTCGGCGCCTGCGGCGGGCTTTCTTATCCAACCCAGCTTATCTAATCAAATCTATATTGTCCAATACAATCCATCTTATCTTATCCAACCCATCTTGTTTGTTTCATCCCATCCAATCCAATCCACCCAATCCAATCCATCAATTCATTTGTTTCTGCGCCTGCGGCGGGCCAATCCAATCCATCAGATCTTATCCGATCCACTTTTTCCAACCCAGCCCATCTTATCTTATCCAAGCCATCTTTCCCCATCCAATCCAATCCACCGAACCCAATCCATCAATTCATTGTTGTCGGTATATCGGAGGTTGGGAGGTGAGATCTCAGTGAAACGGAGACCCCCTCTGGGAAATCGGTTTCGGTTTCGTGTTCGTGTCGTGCGTGCGGGCGAAGCGAAGCTGCGCGTGATCCTCCTGTAGCTAGGCCGAAGTAGGAGCGAAAGTTTGTTTCCCGTGCGCCGGTAGCTGGGAGGTGTCCCATTTGGGCCGGGCGGTGTCCTGGGTGTCCCGGGTGTCCCGGGCGTCCCGGTGCTAACGCATGTCGCTAATTTCATAATTCATGTTTTTCGGCGCCTGCGGCGGGCTTTCTTATCCATTCCATTTTATCTTATCCAATCCATCTTGTCCAATCCAATCCACCTTATCTTATCCAATCCGTTTTGTCCCATCTTATCTTATCCCACCCAATCCGATCCACCCAACCCAACCCATCAATTAATTTGTTTCTGCGCCTGCGGCGGGCCAATCCAATCCATCATATATATATATATATATATATATATATATATATGTTCCCATTCATTTCTTCAATACACCCAACCCAATCCATCAATTATTTTTTGTCGGTGCTTGCAGCGGGCTTTCTCATTTTGCTCTTGAGGTCGATAGTGAGATCGACAGTGAAATTCACGGATAGGTCGGTCGACGGATAGCTAGATAGTGGGATATCATCGTCGTCGCGATCATCATTGTGGTGGAGGAAGACTCCTGATAGGGAAGGACAGAGAGAGAAGGCGGGAAAGAGAGAGAGAGAGAGAGACAGAGAGAAAGATAGAGAGACAGAGACAAACAGAGAAATAAAATCAAGGTGGCAGGCTGGAGGTCAGTCAGGGTGGGCATTTGATCTCAATCCCCTCCAACCTCCTTATCGCCCGCAGAGCGGTCGTATAGGTACCCACAATCTTTCGGGTTGGGACCAGTTTGGCATTTGGCGCGCCCTTCAAGTTACCCGTCTCCGGACTGCGTGGCCCAAATCTCGCGTTGTATTTGGTTGTGTAACAAGTGGACCATCGCGTCACGGGGCGCCTCGGGGGCAACGGCAGTCATCGAGTAGGGTCGCGGTCAAGGGTGACGCAACCCCTCCCAGGGACGGGCCTGGTATACAGCATGCCTTCTCTGTAAAGTGGTTTTCGTGTACCAGACCTGCCCTTGGTTACAAGCTTGAGACATATCCCTACCCACATGCTCGGCGCACCTTACCTCGGCAGTGCCGACCTTAAGGACGCTCTCAGTTTCTGATGGCACACCTCTGAGATCGTCATCACCTTTTGGCTTGTCGATCTTAGGGGTCGGGATGAGTTCGAGGCGGGTTACCTGGAACGGTAAGATGTGACCCTTGCGAGACGCCCGCACGCACCCGGTCTGGGTGCTCCACAGAGGGCGCCCCCGAATTTTTACGCGCGCGGGCGCCGTCGCACGGTACAGTTGCATTCCGCTGGTGGCCACCCCTGGCTGGGCCTCACAGCGCAAACCTTAGGACGCGGCCAGGACGAATAACATCGAGTGAGGATTCACCAGGAATCTCTGAGATCCGGCGGCTCGGGGGGATTTTTCGGGCGCTGCGGCCTTCTCAGATCGTTTCGGAAGGATCTGAGAGCCTTCCAGGACGCTTTGGAACGGATTTAACCTCGTCCTAGCCCTGTCCAAAGCTCCCTGGTGCCCTTTTCGGTTTTTCATGGAAAGTGTTCAGTGTACAGTAGAATAACCACGCTTCGCGTTTCCACGTGCTTACGCGGCGCCACGCTTCGCGTATCCACGTGCTGCCACAGCGCGCGTGTCCCACGCCCTTACGCGCTGGTCGGTACGGATTGAGCTGGCGCCACTGTGCGACTGCTCCTCCGTCCGTTTCTGGTGCCTGCGTCCCCACTTCCGGGCTGCCTGCATCTTAATGGGGGGCATTTTGTCCCTGGCACGTGCACTAGCTGCGTCGGCCTATGCGCCGTCGCCGCTAATCGCTAATTATTTCGCCCTGTGCCCCAGCCGAGAACGTCCCGCTTCCTGGAGCCGTCCTTGAAGCCGCCAATCAAAAAAATGTCCACGTCGGCTCAGTAGCTAGTTTGGCCGTTACTGTGTCCCCGAACGCTTCTGACTCCGCCTGCGCTTTCGCTCGCGGACGCGACCGAACAACAACACATCCACGTCGGCCATTCTCTCCTTCGTGCGCAATTTAGGCCGTAGCTAGTGCGTTGCGACTTTTGGACGGCGTGCGGCACTTTCGCTTCGCTTGCGATAAGAAGTACCCACGTCGGCAAGTTCAGAAGCGTGGCCTATGAGAGCTAAGGGGGGAAGGAAGGACGAATACACATTTTTATGTACGTTTACATTTATATATGTATATCTATATATATACATATATATATATATATATATATATATATATGTATATATTTATACACATACACACATATGTATGTATGTATATATTAGGCATACGCAAAATGGTAGCTTGTGGAGCAGAGCTGGTAACGAGGATGGACACATATATCTGGGACCAGATGGTGGCCTGGGAGGGTCTCTTCGGGCCATCCGTGGGGCCCGCGGGGGGGCGAGGGGAGGAGGAGGAGGAGGAGGAGGAGGAGGAGGAGGAGGAGGAGGAGGAGGAGGAGGAGGAGGAGGAGGAGGAGGAGGAGTGGGAGAAGGGGGAGGACGACGACGACCACGAGCACGAGGAAGAGGAGGAACAGGAGAAGGAGGACGATGAGGGCTAGGACGCGGCCGAGGACCAGGAGGAAAAGGAGGAGGAGGAGGACAACGAGAAGGATTGAACCTTCAAAATCGCCTCTTCAAGCCCTCTTGGGCTTCTTCTGGGGGATCTTGGGGCCCTCTTGGGGCTCTTTTGGAAGGTTTTGGGCCCCTCGCTGTTCGACCCCCCTGGCGCCATCAAAATCGCCTTTCGGGGCGCTCTTGGGCCGCTCTCTGGCCGCTCTTAGGAGCCGTTTTGGGGTCTCTTGGGCCCTTCTTGGGCCTCTCTGGGGCCATCTTGACGCCTAAATAGCGTTTCGGAAGCGAAGAACCGAGAAGACAAACCGTCGTTTCCTTTCGATCCCTCTGCCTTCTTTTCCCCGCCGGCCGCCCGCCGTTGCGGCCGTTGGGCCCAAGACAACTGTGGAGTGCAGCTTGCGCTTCGTAGGAGATAAAGGAGCAGCGCGCGTTCGCCGCCATGTCGTCCGTCAGCGTTAAAGATCACAACAACCCCTATGTTCTTCGTGAAAGGGGTCCATTTGGGCTAGGAGAGGATGGTGAAGGTATATCACACGTGTCGGGTTATCTGGCTCATTTGACCAGAGAACAAGTTATACGCCGAGACAGTGCAAGGTGATATCCGCTGCTCTGATCTGAATGACAGCTACCATCGCAGCTGCAATGCAGCTGGCAGTGGTGGCGAGATGCCAGATGAGACTCTTACCGATCTCAAGAAGCCGGTACTCCGGGAATCGAGGTTGAGTGTGCATCACAGTATCATTATTCCCGGAGTGAAAATTCATACAATTTCAACGGGTCGCGGCATTTTGACCAGATGTCGTGGGCCTCGTCTATTTTCCGATTCTTCCCAGGCCAGCCGAGTAAACATTTGACCCAGGTTAAACCGGCCCAGCAGCAGGCAGTTGATGGTGCCGCATTGCCGTCGAAAGACGAAGGGAAGGTTCCAGGAACGTGCATACGTACATAGTGGCGTACGGGACAGCCCTCCCGTCTGAAGACCAGGTTGGGATGGACAGATTTTATTTTTATGCCACGGAGGAGATTCAAGACGACTCTTGGGAACGGAGTCGTGCAGACATCGATTTTGGCGATGAATACGATAACCCGCCCGTCTCGGGAAGTGGTGGCGATGCGGAGGTAGGTCAGCATTTTTTATATATATATATATATATATATATATATATAAAAAAAAAAAAAAAAAAAAAAAAAAAAAAAAAAAAAAAAAAAAAAACATCGCTACGCACTTCTTCTGCAAGCGAAGAGTTTGACTCCAGGACACTTCGGACCCCGTCTAATGCGGAAGACTCCACGGAAACAGCGGAGAGCCACCAGGAGACCTCCATGATGCCCCAGAGAGTGTGCGCCCCGATTTCAATTTTTATGTTGATCAACCCTGCGTTATTGATGGCACGAGGAAGAGTGACTCTACAGCGAGGTGTTATTATTGAAGGAAGACGGGAGAAGATAATGGAATTGAGGAGCTCACAAATGCCTCAGAGAGGTATCGTACAGTGCCGTGGCAATCACCCGAGCTCGGCGGCAGCCCACCAGCGGACAGGGGTACCCCTCGTGGAAGGTATGCCGGGCCAGAAAATGAGGGAGAATTTGAAATGACCGCGCCAACGGCTCCCGTCAGGCACCCGTCGAATACGTCGCAGTTGAGATCGGATAAGGTCCCGTCCGCGCGAGCCAGGAGTAACCGGTACAGTATGAATGGTGTAAGGTCCAACTGGAGTTCTATCACCAGGTCTGGTATGTCGACTGCCAGCATGATCTCTGTGCCGAACGGGTGTTGGCGGGCCACTCTTCGGTATGGGGGGACGGCCGGATATCGATGCCCAGGCCACTCAGGAAACTGCGGTCGGCGTGGATGATGGGCGTGCTCCTTTACTTGCAAAAATTGCGGTGCGGACTTCCTGCGCTGGATGCGTTGCACCAGCCAGTTACATGTGCATCGCGTTGCGAAACGCATGATGGCTGGCTGCGCAGCAAAGAGAGCTCATCGAAGTTACAAGAAGGCTACCCGCTTCAGATGCGGCAGCTCAGACCTGGACGAGAGCTGCCATCCAGATTGCCGAGAGCCAAGCCCACGCAGAGGCCGAAAAGGCCCAGGTCGAAACCGAAAAGGAAAAATGAGGATCGACGCATCGAGCGGTTCTTATTGGGCTCGACGCTTCTGGTTTTGGTACGCAGGAGGCTGAGCACGCTTCCGGACTCGCTGACGCGTCGGACGTCAGGGCTGAGGGAGTCAATATGGCTGAGACCCGTGAGACCCGAGCAGCGAGACTCGAGGCTGAACACGTGGTCTGGAACCGAAAGGATGAAATGATGGCCATGGAACTGGACAAACAGGAAAAGGGGCAACGCCAAAAGAGGTAAGATCGCCGCTCTACGGTATCAGTTGTCTCATGATGAAAATTCAAGTTCTGATCATCAAGTGTGTGCCACCTCCACGACCCTGCAATGGGCTGACGTAGGGGCTGCCGCCTACGGAGGTGGCGGGGCCACGGCGGCTGCAGACGGCAGGGGCTGGCACTGACCAAGGCGAACGCGTCTCCGAGGAGATGTGCCGCTGAAGGGTTGAGCCTCGAGGATGGGGCAGGGTTCCCAGGTTGAGCTTGCATTGCCCAGGGCCTCCTCGCCGTCGGGCCCTATTCTCTCAGGGCCCCGTCTTTGAGGCGTCAAGCTCTCGGTAGGCCTGATACGCCCGCCCTCCTTCTCGTCTCCCTCGCGAAGGGGCGGGCGGTTCCAATCCAAGTCCGGTCCCAAATCTGTTCCGAATCCAGTCCAGACCAGACCCAAATTGGACAGCGCCGGCGACCACGTTGGCTCCCATCGACTAGACGTAAGAGTGACCTTTCGCCGGAGTGACCTTTGGTGCGGGCCCAAAGGGGTCCCCCGATCGCCGAATGCGATGCGATAGTTGCGTCTTGCGCGCTTGGGTTTGGTCACCCTTCGAGACCCCCAAATGCCGCGCACCAAAGGCCACTCTTGCCCAGGGTCACTTTTGCGTAACGCCGATCCCATGGAACGGGCACCACTCACACTGGCGCGTTCCCAGAATGATGCCCACGTGATTCTTCCGCTTGCATGTTCATTTTCAGTGTTGATGAGAAATCACATTATGCGAGCGCCGACCGCGTTGACGCGAATGCAATGTTCGACGCTGGCGTGTCATGTGGGCTTGAATTGCCGCCTTTCGCCTTCCATGCTTTCCCATGTGCTCTTGTGAGCCCTATGGCCTGATATGGCCTCCTGGTACCCTCCGAGCGCTTCCTTTGGCCTGCCACGACCTCCCATATCCTCCTGATCACCGTTTGGGGTCCACGCGCGGGAATTCTGTAAGCAGCGACTGGCTGGGATCTGAACGCGCTGGTGGTCAGGTCGCATCTTTTCGGCGAGATGGGCGTTTCGGACCTGTCGAGTCCTCGGCAGACGAGTGCGGTGACACATGTGGTGATGCATTGGGAATCGGGTGGTGATGAGGTGGTGAATTTTTTCGACGTGCAAGGGGTCGTTCGAACTGTGTCTGTGTACTGTGGACCAGACATCAAATGTCAGCTTGATTTTATGGGCCTGCTTTTACTGTTCTGCACGTGTTTCCGTGATGCGCGCGTCCGTCTCTTCCCGTCGTTTCACCGACCCCACCCTGGCACGTGCCGAATTGCCAACGCGGGGGAAAAAGGGTCGAGGTGCGAAGGGAAATGGGAGGTGGGCGGGGGTGCAGGAGCGGCGCATGAGCGATGGCGTCAATCAGGAGGCCCGCGCCTTGCCGGGGGGCTTCCCGGGCCGACGGACGGGGCCCTGGCGGCTCGTACACCGAGGGGGGGCAGGTGTAGCATGCTGTCGCGCTGGACCAATGTGCGCGCCGCTGCAGGACCGTTTCAAACACTGCGCCACTGTTCCTGGCCCGTGGGGGGCGGGCCAACCAGGGCCCCCGTCGACGGCCGAGCACTGGCGCCTGCGAGTTTTGCGTTTCTTGGGCTGACTTCAGTTTTTTCAAGCGTCACCTCTCGAACCCGCGCGGGCCTGACGCCAAAGGTTGTCCAAGAGCCGTCCCTCCAAGTCCCCTCCCCAATCGCCCCCCGTAAGGGTTCACTTCCACTGACGGAAGAGCCCCGTTGGGCGACAGCCGTGTGAACATCCTGAAGCGTGCCGACACATTATTCTCAGGACGTCAACGCCACGAGTCAATTTGGCTGTTTCGTCATGGCGACTCTGAAAACCATGGCAGAACACAGATCCCGGGACGCCAGCACCGCGAATCAACGTAATTGTTGCGCCTTGCAAATCTTGAGTCGTTCGAGAACAGAGTGCTAACCATGAGAATCCGTCAAGATCTGGCAATGGGTCTAAACGAATGTGCGCGGCGGCAGGGCGAGAGCCACACTTTGCAAACAAACCACCCTCCATCCGTGAAGCTCTTGAAAATGTTGAAAACGAATTTGCGCGGCGCCGAGTCGAGGGCCACATTCTGAACACGACCCGCCCTCCATCCGTGAAACTGTGGCCAGGCTTGAAGCTTCAGGCTCCAGGCGACACGCCCCGCCAGCCCTTCCGACTGGGAAGAGTTACTCAGAAGGGTGCGACAGGGGCGACACGCCCCGCCAGCTCGTGGTGCGACAGGGAGGAGTTACTCAGATGGAAAAGGTATGGAGGAGGAGGAGGAGGAGGAGGAGGAGGACGAGGAGGAGGGGAAGGTCGTGGCGGCCGAGGAGGAGCAGGATGGGGACATTCCCTTCCCCCCCCCTGCAGGAGTGCACCAAGATGCTGAGCTACCTCGGGGGGGAGTTCGGCAAGGACTCCACGGCCTATGAGAAGTTCAAGCAGAGGTTCCTGGGCCCCTGCCCAATCGAGGAGAGTGGTGTGGAGGAGGAAGAGGAGGAGGTTTCCTCGGGCTCCTGGATGTCATTCGAGGCCTTCACTTCAATTTCGAGTTTTTTCAGGGACTCGGCGGGCTCGAGAGGTTTACGGATGTTGATGGAGGAGGAGTCTTCGAAGGAAGAGGAGGATTCGCAGGAGCAGGGGGAATGCGAGCACACGGATGGGGAAGCGCGAAAGAAGAGGAACAGGAAAAGGCGCATGGAAAGGAAGGGAGAGGGGATGCGAAGGAAGAGGAACAGGAAAAGGACCCCGAGAGCAGGAGGAGGAGGAGGAGGACGAGGAGGAGGAGGAGGAGGAGGGGGAGGAGGAGCAAGAGGAGCAAGAGGAGGAGGAGGAGGAGGAGGAGGAGGAGGAGGTGGAGGAGGAGGAGGAGGGGAGGGACAGGAAGAGGAGAAGGAGGAGACGACGGGAGGAGGAAGAGGACCAGGAAGTTGAGCGGCCGCAGGAGCGGGAGGAGGAGGAGCAGACGGCGAGGGAGGAGTCTGGGCGCCGGCAGCGGAGGTGCTTGGACCTCTTCCCCCTGATGGTGATCCGCTGAGTCGGGGTCAGTTTTGTAGGTCGGGTGGCCTTCTGCGCTCCGGGAAGGCCCAGGGCGGGGGCGACGCGGCAGACCGGCCAGCCTCGGGCACCGCAGCTTGCCCGTCTTTTCCTTCTCCGCATCATCCCTCTCCCTTGTCCTCGTCCTCCTTCGTCTTCTTCTTCTTCTTCGCATTCTTCTTCTCATGTCCTCCCCACTCCTGGAAGCAGCGTCTCTTTCAGATCATGCGGTTGTCCCCCTCCCCCCCTCCGTTTCCTCCCCCTTGTCGTGCTGCTCCTGCTGCTGCTGCTGCTCCTGATCCTCCTTCTCCTGCTAACCCCTGCTTGAGCCTCACCCTCCTCTTTCTGAGCTTCCTCCCCCCCTCCTCCCCCTCCCGAGGAGTGAAAAGAGGAGGGGGGGTAAGGAGGAGCGGGAGGGATTGGAGGAGTGGGAACCGGAGGAGTTTGAGGGGGGCTTCCTCCAACTCCTCCAACTTCTTGCCCCCCTGCCCCTTTCCCTCCAACTTTTCCTCGAAACGTGAGCGGGGGCGTCTTTGTGCTAGATCACAGGGTTTGCAAGCAAAGGAAAAGCGGGGCCCGGTGGGCTGCCCTTCCGTCTCTTCCCAGCTCGTCTGGCCAGACCGGCCACTTCGGGGGAGGAGCCCCTCCGAACCCTCCCTCCAACTTCGTCTCCCACTCCTCATCATCTCCCTCCTCCTCCTTCTCCTCCTCCTCCTCCTCCTCCTCCTCCTCCTCGAAGCCTGCTGCCGCGGACAGGTTCGCGCGGGGGCGCCGATGCCCTCGAGCGAGCCTCTCCTTCTCATCCTCTCCCATCAGGCGGAGCTTGAGGGGGAGTGAGAGAGGCGCGCTGAACTTCAAGCAGTGACGAGGCGTCCTGGCCAAATCATGTTCTAAGAACCTTTTGTAGTTTGCGCGAGCTGTTATTCGAACATGTCTGGTTGAGACCGTCTTGCTTCCACACATGATCTCTTTACTCTAAGAACGCTGTGTCCGGCTCAAGAACTGGGGCTCTCCTCCAGCAGAGCGCCGAGGGGATGGCGGAACATGGCTCTTGCCATGAAGAGGGGGACGACAGCACTGCGGGGACGACGGAGGGACTGCATGGAGGAATGGGGAGGGGATAGTGAGCCTCGCCACCACGGTGCCTCGTCAGCACGCTGCGTCGCGCCTGGCTGCTCGTGATTTTTCACCACCCCAGCCATGACCGATTGCGAAAATTGCTCTCGCCTCGGCGCCTGCCACACCCAATACTGCGAAAGTTGCTCTCGCTTCAGCGCCAGCCACCTCCTTGATTGTGGATGCTGCTCTCGCTTCAGCGCCAGCCACATCCGCGTTTGCGAAAGTTGTTCTTGCCGCAGCGATGGCCAAATCAACAATTGCGAATGTTGCTCTCGCCTGAGCGCCGACCACATCCATGAATAAGAACGTCGATCTCACCTCAGCGCTAGCCACATCCATGAATGAGAACGTTGCTCTCGCTTGAGCGCCAGCCACATCGATGATTGTCAAAGTTGCTGTCGCTTCAGCGCCAGCTAAACTCTACATTCGAGACGAAGAGGGATCAGTGATACAATTGGCACTTTTGCAATGCATGTTGCTGTGCCACCCCATTATGGTGCATCATTTGCTACATCGCGCGCGTGATACACTGGTGTCGCCGAGCTGTTGATCACGTCATGTTAGCTTTGGCGAAGTGTCGACAGGGTCTGGGTCAGGTTAGATAAGGATTTGCCACGTTATGGGGGAGGGCTTGCACAACGGCGGGCAAACATCCGAGTGAGCATCCGGCAGGCCGCAACAAAAGCGTGGTTGCGTCGTTACTGTTCGAGCGATCGCGCAGGTTCACGGTCGTGGAAGCAGAGTCGGCCACATTGTGCAAGAGGCCGAAAGGCAAGTTCTTCCATGCAGACAAGGGAGGAGGAGCACCGCCGTCCGTCTTTGTCAAGGAAAAAAGGCTCAAAACGAGGAGCTCCGTCAGTAGGCCAAGAGCGTCTCAAGGCTGAGCTTGCGGCCGCGCCACAGGTCATCGGCAGAGGATGACTCCATGGAACTCGCCGATGGCTCGGCTGAGAGGGGTACTGCTCGCATCGCAGAGCTCCGCAGCCAGATCGACGGCTTCGATCAGTTCCCTGACAGTGCGAGGGCTCTTGCGACGGTGCGGGCGTCCCTGGTCAAAGAGCTCAATTGATGTCGGGCGAGACTGCTCGAAACAAAACCGCTGCCTATCCAGACCCAGAGGGTCACGCAGAAGATTGTGGGCGCCGAAAAGCGGATGGCCACGAAACAGAAACAGCTGGATGGTTTCATTGAGAAGATTGAAGAGTTGCAGAATGAGAGGGATGAGATGGCGCATGGTACGGCAGCGATCCAGCTGGAGCTCGTGGGTCTCGAGGCCCCGCGTATTCAGGTGACGGCCAACTTCCCGCAGCCGACCACCGTGGTCAACGGCGCGGTGGCCTCCCTTGACGCTGTGCCCCCGCCCGTGCGCATGTCGACTGCGCACGAACGCGGGCTGGCACGCAAGCTGGCGGCGGTCATCGCTAGAGCAAGGCGGCCCAGACCACCGCCGAGGCTGATGCGGCTCAGCGGCGCGCGGGGGCTGAAGCTGCAGCGGCTGGGGAGCAGCATGCATCAGGCGGCGCGCAGCCTGCTTCGCCGACCCCTATGGAGACGCAGATGCCCGGGGACGAGGAGGTGTTCAAAAGGGCGATCAACAGATACGGCGTCGCAAAGAGGCCGGAGCTGAGCGCCTAAAGTATTCGTCATCTTGGCTCGTGTGTCGGCGGCGTCGGCGGCTGGACGCGATGGCGGGGGCGCCGAGGCAGGTGGGGTGTTTATCGGCAGGGCCTGCTTCCCACAGTGCCAGCCTGCAGGTGACAAGGCCTCGTCTCGTCCATCAATGTCTCGTCGCGCGGGTTCTTTGGACACGCTGGCTGCGCAGGAATCGCCCCAGTCTGACAGTGCATGGGGGCACCACGCGGGTCTGGACAAAGCCCCTGCCCTTTAGCAGCGCGGTCAGAATCTCGGTTGCAGTGGCGCGTGGGAGGCGGCGCATGTTCCCAAAATAGGGGGCGCCAATGTTGTTTGCGCGGTCCTGGACAAAGGCGGGGATCCAGGTCTCGCTCTCCCCTGGAAGACAGTGGGGTGCCCTTGTCCCAGGACGCGCTGTCTCGGGTCACGTCCGTCCAGTGGTATCTGGTGGCATGAGCTGCGCGTCGGTCTATCTGCGCGATGCAGCCGGTCTCAACTCGGCCAACCTTGCCATCCCTCGCGAGGTGTTTTTTCCTGCTCGACATGTTCAGCCACGTTTTTACGTGGGTTGTTGGGGGATCTTTCATCGTCGAGCCGCCTGCCTTGATTCCCTGGTTCGACTCGATCGGTGGGCTTCTGGTTCGTAGCCAAGAGGCCACCTGCAGGCGCACGCCGCCAGGTCACAAGTGCGATGTCATCGGGGCGGATGCTGGCCGGTCCCGGGCTTCCGAGGCCCAGGCTCTGACAATGTGCAGTTCTCACCCGCGTGAGTGGACGCTTGCGTCGTTGTTGATCGACGCCGTTGGGGGTGGCGATGGGTCGGCGCAGGCGCGGGGCGGCGTGATCCAACTGATCGATGTGGAGCTCTGCGGGCGCTGCGACAAAGCGGGGTGCAAGGCCATGAAGCAAGTTGGGCGCGCTGGCCCGCTGCTCCGGTGCCGAGTCCAGCGCGCTGGGAAGCTGCCCGCGCGCAGGCCGCCGACGAGGTGGTCTGCGACGGACGCGCGGGCGGCGGCGTTCGGATGGGCGCGCCACCTCAGGAGAGCCAGGGCCTGCGTGGGCGCCGGGCTTCCAGCGCTGATGGGGCAGGGAAGCAGGCGTGGCGCTATTATTGGCAGGCTTGCCACCACCCTCGACGCCGCGGGGTGGCTCTTCGACTGCGCGCTGCGCGCCCTGGTGGCAGTGCGCCCAGTTGGCAGGCAGTCCTCCGAGAGTGGCATGGCGGCTCTGACTGGCGACCACTTCGACGACTCGGTTGATTGGGGCCGAGATGGCCGCCGCCATCTTGGTCGAGGATTTCGCCGAGAAGCGGAGCAGGCCCCTCGTTCGCGAAGGCCGAGAGTCCGCAGGGGGCGGTCTCCGTCGGGTCGGGTGGGCAGCCAGTCCAGCGGATTAGCGATTGTTTTGGCGACTGGGCCACAGTTTGGCGCGCGCGCGGTTGCGAGCGCCTCGAGTGCCCGCTCGATTCGCGCCAGTGGCCTTTGCTGCCCGCGGTCGGGGCGGAGGAGGTGAAGGCTGCCATTCCTGCTTTTCCAGCGAGGGCGGCCGACGGTCCGCCCCGTCCAGAGCCTCGCAGCTCGCTTCGCTTAAACAACGCGGCGACGCGCGCGATTGGCCGTCCGAGCGGTTCGCCGCCGAGTTTGTCAGGTTGCCGAAGGCGCGCAGGCAGGGGGGGCGCGGCGCCCTGCTGCAGACGCTCGCGAGGGTCTGGGGGAAGGTTCGTTGTTCCGTGGCTGTCGGGTGGGGGGGGGTCGGAACCCGAGCGACCTCATCTGGGGCCCGGGGTTTGGGCGTCGCAGCGCTGGTTGCGCCTTCGCCTGCAATCGCGAGGCCTGCGAGCGTGAGAGGCACGCCTAGCCATCATTGTGTGTCCGTCCTCCTAGATCTGGTCAGCTGCCATGGAATGGCATCTCCGATGGCAGTGCTGCGCTCATCCGCAGCCGAGGCGCGCCAATGATTTCGGTCGCGAGGGTAAGGAGCGCATCTCCTTTCAGGGGTCCTTGAGGGGTGCTGCCGCGCCACCGCGCTGGTCATCATGCTCCAATGCCCCTGCAAAGGAGCGGTCGAAAGTTCCGCGCCGTGGCTTCTCGGGGACAAATGGGCGATGTGTTCTCCGCGTGGGTTGACCGCCAGGCAAAGGGGCCCGGCGTCGTTTCAGTGCTGTTTGGGCCTTTGTCTAAGACGCGCGCGACGCTGGATGTCGTCGCACGCCGCCGATCCGGGCCCCTGTCGCGAAGATGCGAGGGCGGTCGTGGTGATGGCGCGGTGGCCGAGCTGTCCGCGTTCAGGTCTGCGCGGAACCCGGGGCGCGATCCTCTTGCGGGTGGCGGCGCCCGCAGGGCCCAGGAGAGGCTGCTTCTGTGCGCGGTCCTGGGGCGCGTCGGTGGGCTTCGTGCTCTTAGGAGGGCCGGTGGGCTGAAAATATGGGCCCCGCGGAGACCCGGCGCGCCGTCCGGTAGCCGCGGGGCGGGGGCCATTGGACTCGCCGGCTCCTTTCGCACGAAGCTGCGTTCTTTTGCGGGGGAGCTGGCCGGGGCCAGGGAAGGCGTCGCGTCGCTCACTGTCTACGCCCCTACGCAAGGAGGTCGGACGTCTGCCCCCGCGTTCGACGCGACTTGCATGCGCCTCGCTCGCCGCGCCGCCCGGCTGTAGGGCGGGGTGGCCTCGGTCTCGCAGTTCAGGGCGGCGTGGCGGGCGGTCCGCGCGCGCAGTCAGCTCGTCGCGTGGTTCATGCGTTTTGATCCCGCGTCATCCTCACTCTTCGAAGGATTGGGCGTGGCATGGCGGCCCCGCGCGTGCTCCGAACGGATGAAGGCGATCTGGTCTCTTCGCATGAGTGCTCGCCCTCGTAGGTGCGGGGCGCATTGCGCGGTGGGGTCGAGCGCTGGCTGTGGCGCGGGATCCCCCCCCCACACGCTGGCCCGAGGTTGCTGGCATAGGGGATTTTTCTGGGTTCGCGCGACGCGCCTCCCTGTTCTTGCTCGCCCAGCGGGCGCGCGCCAAGGGCCGCCCGAGGGCCTTGCTGTCGGGGGCCTGTGGCTCCCAGAGCGCAAGGTTCAGGCCGTCCTGGCGGCGTCGGGCACATGCAGTCTTCGCGGCGCCGAGCGCGGCGCGCCTGACCAAAAGTTCAATGATTGTCATGCTGCCTTCGCCCCCGTCGGAGAAGATGAGCAGGCGAGGCGCCCGTTCCCAGATGATGTTTGGCAGCGTAGAGAGTTTCTGCGGGGGCAACTACAGCCAACCATGATAGGAAGGATGGGGCAACTTTCCAAGGCTACCCTTGCATCCTTGCCCCTTCGGTATTCGGCATCCTTCGGCATTCTGCTGCGCTCCGCACGGAAAACGTCAACGTGGCGTTCCAAGGCCCTTGCATCCTTACCGCGCTTCCTTACTTTCCTGGTCGAGTGTATCTCCTCTCGGGGGGCCGGATTGGGATGTGGTGCTTCTCTTCCTTACGGGTTCCTTCGTATTTCTGCGAGGCTTCCGCCGCCATCCTCTCGCCCTCATGCCCTGGACTGGGGCCCCGCTCGAGGTGCTTTCTGGGCTGTTGCTCGCGGACTGTAGCGATGGTTCTCAATGCCCGGAGCTGCCATATTCAGGAGGGGAAAAGGCACGCAGACACAATTAATCGTCGACTCCCAGGAAAATATGAGAAAATATGGGAAGTGGGCGGGAGACACACCCAGAACATGTAGGAAACATACTGGGGATCTCGCTATTTGTGTCTATTTATTTGTGTGTCCTTGGGTTCCTTGGCAGATGCGGACGACATGCGGCCCGCATCATTGCCGATGGCTGGCCTCCCCGAGCGGTGTTCGGGGGGCCGCCAGGCCGCGTAGGATGTGTTTGTTGCCCCTTCCCTTCCCCCCGCCTGTCTGCCCCCCCTCCCCGCGCCACAGGGCTTCTTCGCGCTTGTAAAGCGTCTGTTGTACTAGTCGCGGTCGGTTCGTTCAGAGTTGTTAGCGAACGCGCGCTCACCTGTGACTTCCTGGCGGGGGCCGCGCAGTTGATTTGCGCCCGTTCCGAGGCCCAGGAGGTTGCTCCTGTTCAGCTCAAGACGGCGGTCAGGCAAGACAGGTTCATTCCCATCGCTCACGACCCTGTTCTGTTGGTTCCTGGTTCGGCCGGGGTCCAGTGCAGGCTTTGTTGGCCGTGGCCAGGACCCCGTCCACTGCCAAAGTTTTATAGATCCCAGTGGCTGAGTGCGACTCCCCCCCAATGCTCCAGGCCCTGGCCCAGGCAGTTGAGCAAATGGGGTGGCTTTATCGTGTCTCTGGGGGCGGGGGGGGGTCCTGCTGCTGCTGCTGAGGAGGAGTCGGTGGAGGTTGGAGGGATGGCCACAAAGTGCATCGTACTGGGCCGCTTTTCTTTTGTAGCCTCTGCGGGGCTCGGGTGGCGGTTTCTGAAATTCCATAGCCTGGGGGAAGTTTGCCCCCTGGCACCTCCGCATCCTCCGCGTCGGCGGGTCCGTGGTTGGATCCCGAACAGGAACACCCCGCGACAGGAACCGTCCCCACAGACTCTTAACTCGTTGGGTTTTCACAGTCCATGCTGGTGGCTGGCGCCTCACCCTTTGATGGGGCCCTTCTCCCCTGCACGTTCTATGTTGCGTCCTGCGGCCTCCTCCTCCTCCTCCTTCTCCCCGCCTCCCCCTCCTTCTCCTCCCCCTCCTCCTCCTCCTCCTCCTCCTCCTCCTCCTCCTCCTCCTCCTCCTCCTCCTCCTCCTCCTCCTCCTCCCCGCCTCCCCGTCCTCCTTCCTCCATCCCTCCGCGTGCGCGGGACGCGGCCCCCGCCGCGGCGCCCCCCCCCGAGATGTGCCGCCCCGAGGCGCTCACGGCCTGGGCGGCCTCGCGCGCGGTAGCGCCGTCCAGCCGTCCGGCGCGGGGCGGGGCCCGGGACCAGCGAGCGGGTGGCATGTTGATCACAGCCCTCCTTCGAAGAAGTTCAGAGGAGGACATTTGGAGGAGGATGGGGAGGAGCAGGGTACAGGAGCAGGAAGAGGTGGAGGAAGATGAGGAGGTGGAGGAAGAGGAGGAGAAGGAGGAGGAAAAGGAGGAGGAACAGGAGGAGGAAGAGGAGGGGGAGGAGGAGGAGAAGGAGGAGGAACAGGAGGAGGAAGAGGAGGAGGAGGAGGAGGTGGAGGAGGTGGAGGAGGAGGAGTGCACGCATCCTCTGCTTTCGCGCCGTTCCAGGGGCCTTGCGTCCTGAAGCTCGATCCTCATCGCTGCTTTTGACTGCTCCAATGCCGCTGCCCTTCTCTCGTCGCTGCGGCCAGGTTCGCCGCGAACTCCTGACCAGCCTCCTCCTCCTCCTCCTCTCCCTTCCTCGAGTTTCCCCGCGTCGTCCTTCTACGCTCGTCTTCTCCCCATCAGCGTCCGCTCCCGCTCCACCTTCTTAGGGCCTGGAGCCTTGAACTGGAGGAGAAGACGAAGGGCGGGGGGAGGAATTGGAGGAGGAGGTCTTCGACTGGTCCTCGATGGTTCTTGAATGTTCTGAGGGAGTTTGCCGAGGCTACCATACGTTTCCATATGATTACCAGGTGTGTCTACACGGGGGGATGAGGACGAGGAGGAGGAGGGGAGAAGGGAGCTGGCAAAGTAGGAGGGAACAAAGAGAGATGGAAGAGTAGGATGATGATGATGATGATGATGATGATGATAATGATGATGACGATGATGATGATGATGATGATGATGATGATGATGATGATGATGATGATGCTGATGCTGATGATGATGATGCTGATGCTGATGATGATGATGATGATGATGATGATGATGATGATGATGATGAGGAGGAGGAGGAGGAGGAGGAGGAGGAGGAGGAGGAGGAACAGGGAGGATATGGATTGTGTGTGGGGGGAGGAGGAGGAGGAGGAGGAGGAGGAGGAGGAGGAGGAGGAGCAGGAGGAGGAGGAGGAGGAGGAGGAGGAGGGAGGGCGGGAGAAGGTTGGAGGTGGAGGAGGAGGAGGAGTGAGGAGGGGTTGAACGATATGTCACCGACTGGGCCTGGACATAAGGACACGTCCACCGTTTGGCTGTAGATCTGAAGCCGTTTTCATAGATCTACCCTGTCTTGAAAAAAGGGCCGCACATCTCTGTCGTTACCCCGTTGCCTGTGCACGCCTCCATCTTGCGCGAGTGTACGTGGCCGTAGCGGACGAGTTGTTTGCCAGAGCGCAGCGTACAGCATTGCTAATGCTTCGCTGGGACCCCCCCCCGCATTGACGATGACCTGTGTCTTCTGGGGAGGCTCCGCGGGAGCTCGGCCGAAGTCAGAGAAGGGCGAGGTGAGACAAGGTTAGTCGGCCTTGAGGAGCCATCTCTTCGCCACAGCTGAACGCAGCTCGGACAACTGGCGCGTTTGGACCTTGGGATCGGTCCAGAGACCGATTTTGAGTTTCCGTTGTCTCAACTCGCCCTGCTCAGATGAAGTGAACGCAGACCCTCGGATGGAGGTCGATGCGTTCGTCCTCCTCCTTCCTCATCATCATCCTACCTCCCGCTTCCGTTGCTCCTTATCATCCCTTCCCCCTCGTTGTTTGTCGGCTGTTGAGGGCATGGTTGCCCATGGAGTTAGGGACCCTGGATGCGGGCTTTCTGCTCCAGACGCAAAAGGGGAAGGAATCATGTCGCTGATACGTTCAAAGATTTTCCTGGGAGTCCAAGATGACCTATAGTTCCTCACGGGCTCCAGAAACGAGGGCCGCCAAACATTCAGGACTTCAGCGAAACGAATTTTCCTGAGCCAGTCGCACCATGACATCATCTTCGTTCCATGGGCACCTGACAGGACAACCCAAGGGGATCGCTCGCGCGTCGTAATTCCTTCTGCTCCTCCTCTTTCAGGGATCAACGTTTGGGGGAAGATCCGAGTCCAAATCGCCCATTGATCGCCGAGTGGGGTCCGTTCGGATTCACTACGGGGGGCCTATCGCCGATCGATCGGCGATGTATCGCCGGCTGAAGCTTGATGCTTCCCCCCTTGAGCTGGTCCCCCTTCTGACGTTGCCCCCCCACCTCTCTCCGCCGCGGCTCTTCCCGACGGACACGAAACTGACCAAACATAAACGTTCGGAGGTCCGCGCGGACTGCCCGGATCGGCGCCAGGCCTCCCTCCCCCCGGCGCCGCCCTTGCGGCGCCGCCCCTTTGGCGCCGCCCCTCCGGCGTCGCCCCTGGTGCGCTCTGTGCGCCAGGCGCGCCAGGGGAGGCGCGTCTGGCGCTGCTCCAAGAGATCCGTGCGGACTTCCGGCTTCTCCTTCCAGTCCTCCTCCCTCGGCCGACGTGTCGACTGCTGCATGCGTGGCGCGTGCCCTCGCAGAGCTGGGGCACTCGTCCACATACGTACCAAGCAGTGCCTGGGCGAGCAGGAGGGGTCATCATCAAGAAGCATGGAGCACCTGACCCAGACAACTCAAGTTTTAGCTGAACTTACGTCCCCGTCTTTGCAATGGGCATAGAACAGATGTGGCTAGCTTGACTTGATGCAGGTGCAGCAGAGATTCCCTGTCACGAATGATTTGGGCCCCCTAGCTTAGGTCCCCTCCCAAAGGCATGGGGGTTCTTTTTCATTGCGGATGAGATGAGGCGGGACAGCGAGGGGAGGAAGGCAAGAGCGCCGGAGGAGCGTTGGACCTTCGCTTCGCGGGGATGCAGGAGAGAGTGGCGGCATCATCCGCCAGCAGTCGCCCCTCGGATTGAACCGGGGCGTTGCCGCTGCCGGGCTTGTCTCCGCCGAGCTCCTGCCCAGGGGTGCTGGGGGAGCTAGGACGGGAAGAGGGAGGAGGGGCGGTGGCGGGGGCAGTCTGGGAGCGGCGGGGAAGAGTGGGAAGAGAAGAGGGGGCGGCGGGGAGGAAGAGAAAGCGAGGAGGATCCGGAGGGCTTTGAGGAATGGGAGGGCAGACCGAGGAGAAGGGAGAGGAGGAGGAATGCGAACGGCGAGGGATGATGAGGATGAGGGTGAGGAGGGTGGGAGGGGGTTCTTGGAGGGTGGAGAAGCAGACGGAGAGTAGCAGGTAGGAGGGGGGGAGAAGGAGAGTAGAATGAGGAGGAATGAACAGGAGTAAGATGCAGGATGCAGGGGAGGATCAGGAGGAAGGACTAGAACACGGGAAGCATACAGATGAGGACGAGGAGAAGAAGCAGAATGAGAAGGAGTAGGAGGAAGAGGAGGAGGGCGCGTGACATGTGCAGCGGAGTCTCTGCGATGAGTCCATACCTCGTCAGCGCCCCAGACAGGCTACCTCTTGATCGCCCCAGGCAGGCCTCGTGGAAAAGGAGGTGGAGGCGACGCTACCTTGGCCTAATCAACTCGGTGTGCTGCCATGTTGATCAGCCGCAGCTTAGGTCAATCCAATGTGGCTCGATGTGGCCTGGGATGGCAGTCTACCGTCCCGGCGAGCTTTTCGCCCAGATCTTGCCTCAGCGGTGGTTGATAGGCGCGGGAAGGTAAAGACATGGAGCGCAGCGCTGCACTTGCTTCGGGAAGCGTCTCGAGCGCGTGCGAAAATCAGCGCGGGCCAGTACGTGGCGACTGTCAGCGCGTGCGGACGAGGGAAGCATTGGGAGTTGGCGCTGTCGCTCTTCAGCGAAATGCGTGCAACAAAGGTGGAGTCCAACGTCATCTCTCGTACCGTGCAGGAGCATACGCTTTCCAGAAAGGCCTGGGAACCAATGTGGACTTTCTGCCCCCCCCCCTCCCCCCCCCTCGGAGTCTGAATCACGCTCCTGGCGCTTCCCGGGGCGGTCCTGAGGGCCCGAGACGGCCCTGGAGCCCCCCAAGACGTCCTCAGACGTTTTTGCGGCCCACAGAGCCCCCAAGGCTCCCCAAGACGACCCCAGATGGCGCCAAGGGGAGACAGGACCCTTCAGGATACCGCCGCGCAGGGCCCCCAAGATGCGAAGATCGTCGAGGCTGTGCGCTTTTGGTCCAGGTGGCTCCAAGCAGGGCTCCAGAGGGCCGCAGAGGCCTACAACAGCCCTCCAGAGGGCCCAAAGGTAGCTCAAGATGGGTCTGTCTGGTCTCCCACATGTCTCCAAGGCTTCCTCAAGACTCGCAAGACCCTTGGACACCCCTCCCACAACAGCACGCAGAGGACCAAAGGCACGACCAGATGGCCTCGGAAGGCTCGGAAGGCCCCCACGCACGGGAGCCCAGGAAGTCTTAAAGAAGGTTCCAAGAAGGCCCCAAGTTGGCCCCAAGAGGGCCCCACGAGCAACCCAAGAGGAACCAGTTGCTTTGCCACACGCGCGCGGAGGCCATTGGGAGATTCGTGTGGCGGCCGTTCCGTCCCTATACCACGCTGCTCCTTGCTCCTTGCTCCTCACTCCTCGGCCGCTGGTCTTCACTTGTCGCCCGTTACTCCTCGATCCTTGCCTCTCATGTCTCACGCTTCCTCGCTCCTCCCTCACCTCATCTCTCTGGGCCCCTCGCGCCTCCCTCTGGGCTACTCTGTGCTCTCCGCTCCTCAAGCATCCTTCCTCGCTCCTTGTTCCTCGCTTCCCGCTTCTAGCTCATTGCCCGTTGCTCCGCGCTCATCGCCCGCCTCTCCTTGTTGCTTGCCCCTCTCATCCGACTCGTCTTTTCAATTCGCTTCTCCTCGCTCCACTCTTGGCCCCTCCCTCCTCCCTATGGCTACTCGCACTTCCATCCCCCTCCCGCCTCCTCTCTCCTCGGCTCTCCCTCGTCCCTCCTCACCTTTCTCTTCTCGGCCGTCACTCCGTGGCTCCTCCCTTCTTCGCTCCCGGTCCTCGCTGATCGCCCATCGTTTCCTCTTCCTCCCTCCTCGGCCTCTTCGATCCAGACTCCTCGCTCCTTGGATCCCTCCCGGGCAGCAGGTTACGCCAGCAAGATTCACACAATCGTACAGCAACAGCTAGCAACAGTATCACGAACCACCCAAGGACGAAGCAGGCAGTGCCAGCACACAGCAATGGCAAGCAGCATCAGGCAGCGGGCAGCAGCAGAACTGATCATCAGCAGCACCCTGTAGTTACAAGCAACAACATAACTATCATATCCGCCAACACATGTCAGTTCGTTCAGAGTTCGTGGACGTAGACCGCGGGTCAGCCCTAGTCATCTACAGCGCTGGAATGAGCGCGTGCGAGAAAGGCGAGCAGTGGCAGCAGGCTTTGCGATTGTTATGTGAGATGTGGGATGCGAGGGTTGAGCCCGACGTGATCTGTATTACAATTCCGGGCGACGCGCATACGAGTAGTAGAAGCAGTGGCAGCGCCCTGGGCCGCCCAGAGAGCCCGCGGGCCGCCCGAAGAGTCTCCGGGGCGCTCCTCGACGGCCCCAGGAGGCCCCTGGAGCGCTCGCCGACGGCTCCAGGACCCCCAGATCGCCCCAAGATGGCCTCACAGACGCCCAAGAGCGCCGAAGCCGACCCAACCCGAGCCCCATGATGGCACAAAAAGGCCTCGCAGATGGCCCCCGAGGACCGCGTGGACAGCGCCAAGAAGCAATATTTGTGCGTTTTCCAGAAGTTTCGAGGGCTTTCCTGTTCCCGCCACTTCGGGCTCACAACGGCCCAGGATGGCCCCGGGAGCTTCCCGAACGCCCCTGCACGGCCCAAGAGGGTCCAAGGAGGGCTCCGAGACAGCCCAAGAAAGCCCGTAGACGTCCCAAGAGGGCCCCAAGACGGCCCAAGAGAGCTTCAAGTGACCCCCAAGTCAGCCCCAACCGGGCCCCAGATCCCGCCCCAATCGGGTCCAAAGCGACCTCCGAAACGGCCTGAGACCCCCAAGATGGCCCCACGACGCCCCAAGAAGAGCCCCAGATGCCGCCCAAGAGGGCCGAAAGCGACCTCCGAGACGGCCCGAGACCCCCAAGATGGCCCCAAGACCTCCCTGCGCGGCCCCAAACCGAGGCCGGCAAACGTGGCCCCATCACTCTGATTGTGCCTCAAAACCCCCTTGTGTTTTTGCTAATCGCGCCCAGGCCCGGCGCGATGAGCAAGAAACCATTCCTTTTCACGCTTCCAGGTCAGTGCCCCCGGAGCTTCCCGACTGCTTTCCGGGGTTGCCCCCAGACGTGGCCCTTTAAACGTCGGCCCCGCACGTGGCCCCCAAACGGAACCCCCAAAGGCGGCCCCCACACAGAGCCTCCGAAAGTCGCCCCTACCGCCCCAGTAAGCGTGGCCCCCGAACGTCACCCCCACGCTTAGCCCCCAGGCGCCCCAAAACGTGGCCCCCACACGCAGCCCCCAACCCTTGCCCTCAAACGTGACCGTCACGTGTGCCTCCGAAGGTCGCCCCCACCGCCCCAGGGACGCCCGAGCTGTTCAACTTCGACGAGCTGATCACCTACGGTGTACGAGTCCCAGGCTCAGCACGCCGTGGATTTAATCCACGGGTTCACACCAGTCAGCTACAGCGCTGGCATCAGCGCGTGCGAGAAGGGCGAGCAGTGGCTGCGGGCTCTGGGGCTGCTGAGCGAGATGTGCGAGGCGAGTCTGGAGCGACACGTCATCCGTATTACAGTTCTGGGCGCCAGCAGCCCTCCGATGTCTCCAAGCCGGCCTCAGAAGGCCCCAGGACAGCTCGCATGGTTTCAAGTTGGCGGCAGGATGGCCCGAGAGGATTCGAAGCAGCCCCCACGGCGGCCCAGGAGGGCGCGAAGACCGGCCAGGAGGCTCCACAGACGGCCCAAACATCAAGCAACACATTGTTTGATTGAAACGGTTCTTCGCATTCTCCCCGATGACGGGTCCAGAGCGGCCCCACAAGGTTCCAGGTCTTTCCAAGATCGCCCCAAGATGGTTCAAGAGGCCCTCGAGAAGGCACCAAGACTGCTCAAGAGGACTCGAAGACGGCCCAAGACACCATACGGCCTAAGAGAGCCTCGAGTAGCCCCCCAGGACAGCCCCAGGAGGGCACCGGGAGCTTCCGAAGAGGGCTCAAAGCGGGCTGCAAGACGATCCCAGGCCCCCCCAACATGGCCCCACGACGCCCAAGAAGCCTTCAAGACGGCCCAAGAGGGCCCCAAAATGGCCCAAGGGGGCCAGGGAACTGTCCAAGAAGGACCACTCCGAGATGCCCCAGAGGCTCCCAGCAGACGCCGAACACAACTCCCAAGAGAGCCCCCAGCCCCAGCACATTTCACCGTTTCTGGATTCCCCGAACCCCGAAGAAAGCCCCCACCCCCCCACACGCCGAAGAAGGCCCCAGACCACTTCTAGTCCTCAGGGCCCCCCAAGAGACTCCGATAGTTGCCATGGACCTCTCCAGGGAACCTCCAGTCCTGCCACCTCCTTTCGCCGTCCGTAGAACCACCGTAGTCCCAGAGAAAATTCCGAACCCCAAACTAATTAGGCCCCACAAGTCCCATCTCCCTGTTCTCCTCTCTGATCCTCCTCCTCTTCCTCCTCCTCATCCTCCGTCTGCTCGCCTTCCTTCCCCTCGCCCTCTCCCCCCCTCCGCCCTGCACACCAGCAAGCCTCGCCCCCCCCCTCCCGCCTGCGCCCGATTAGGGGTGACAGGGGGAATCTCCATTACAGTAATCCTAAAGAACGCCCCAGACCCCAAACAAGGCACCGGATAGTTCCTCTCCCCGTTCTCCTCTCTTCTGTTCCTCCCCCTCCTCCTCCTCCTCCTCCTCCTTCTCTGCCTTTGGGGGCCTTCTCCCTCCTTCTCTCTGGTGCCACTCTCCCTCTCCTTCATCTGCTCGCATTGGCGACACCTGAGCGTTCGGGGCTGACACTTCGACATGCCTGCCGTGGATGTTCTACGGGTGCACACTAGTCAGCTACAGCGCTGCGATCAGCGCGTGCGGGAAGAGCGAGCAGTGGCAGCATGCTCTGGCGTTATTCGGCGAAATGTGTGAGATGATATTGGAGCCCGACGTCATCTGTACTACAATGCTGGGCGAAGCGCGTGCGAAAGTGGCCAAACGTGCGTGGCCCCCCACCGCGCTCACGGCCCCCGGACGCGCCTCCGGCGGTCCAGGCCTGCTCTTGAGCGCTCCGATGAGCCCCAAGACGGCCCAAGAAAGCTCCAAGACGGCCCAAGCGCCACCTTGGGCGGCCCGAGCTTGCATTCCCGGCGGCCCCAGCAGCGCCCAGGTCGCTCTCGAAGGCTCCGAGAGGGCCCCCGGACACGCCGGACAGGCCTCGACGAGAGTAAATGGACGATTTCCAATGGTTTTTTCGATGATTTCCGTGTTCTCACTTTTCTTGTTTCCCGTACGCCCGAGACGTCCCAGGAAGCCCCCGCTCGCTCATCAAGACGGTTCTGGAGGCCCCGCCAAGAGCCCCGAGACGGCCCAAGAGGGTCCCAAGATGACCCCAGAGAGGCCCACGATACCCTCATAGAGCATCCGGTGATCCCCAAGACAGCCCCAGAGGGCACCAGGAGCTGCCGAACATGCCCCAAAGCAAGCTCCAAGACGGCCCGAGACCCCGACGATGGCCCCAGACGGCCCGCGGGCTCCCTCCAGAGAGACCCCAGGAGGGCTCCAAGAGGGACTGCAGGAATCCCGCGGGGCCCCCGAGACGGCCCAAGAGAGCCCCTAAATGGCCCAAGACGGCCACACGAGGCTCCAGAGAGGCACCCAGGAGAGCTCCAAGAGGGGCCGCAGGGAGCCTTTTCCGCGGCCTTCCCGCAGCCCCCAGTGGGCCACGAACTCTCCAAGGACCACTCCGAGATGCACTAGAGTCTCCCAAGAGACTCCGATAGTTGCCCAGGAGCTCCCCAGGAGAGCGCCTCCATCCACGGCACCCTTTCACCGTTTCTCGAACCCCAGACGCCCCCAAGAAAGCCCCAGACCCCCAAGCACGCCCCAGACCACTCCGAGATGCCCAGGGCCTCCCAAGAAACCCTTTTGGTTCCCACAGAGCTGCCAAGAGTGCCTCAAGCCCTGGCACCTCTCCCCGTGTGTGGCTCCCCGGTAGCCTCCAAGAAAGCCCTTGACCAACGCCTGACAACGGTGTGGCTCCCCGGTTGCCTCCAAGAACAACGGCCCAACAAGATCCCTAGGCAGTCCCAAAACGCGCCCGCCCATCCCAGGATGCCCCCGAGCGCGCCCCAAGGCGGTCCAAGAAGGCCCCTGAGCAATCCCAATACAGCCCAATGATGGCCTCACACACCCCACATGATACGATCCCCAGTACAGCCCCAGAGGCTCCCAGCACTGCCCCCGACGCGCGCAAGACGGCCCCAGCGCCGCCCAAGGCGGCCGATTGGCCGTGACAGGGGGGACCTTCCTCGTCGATGGCCCCCAAGACAGTCCCGAAGCATGCCCGCAGACGTCGGCGACATATGCGCGTTCGGGGCCGACACCTTCACCTGCCAGCTGTGGCTTTTCCACGAGTTCACATTCGTCAGCTACAGCGCTGCGATCAGCGCGTGCGAAAAGGGCGAGCAGTGGCAGCTGGCCCTGTCACTGTTCAGCGGGATGTCGGAAGCAAGGGTTGAGCTCAATACCATCACCTGCAATGCAGGGATCAGCGCATGTGCAAAATGCAAGCAGTGGCAGGAGGCCCTGTCACTGCTCAGCGCCGTGCGTGAACCCGACGTGATCAGCTACAGCGCTGCGATTAGCGCGTGCGAGAAGGGCGAGCAGTGGCAGCGGGCCCTGTCGCTGCTTACCGAAATGTGGTCGGCGAAGCTGAAGCCCAACGTCATCAGCTACAACGCTGTCATAAGCGCATGCGGAAACGGCGAGCAGTGGCAACGTGCCGTAACTCTGTTAAATGAGATGACAGCGGCGACGTTGGCGGCCGACGTTGTTAGCTACAGTGCCGGGATTACCGCGTGCGAAAAGGGCAAGCAGTGGCAGCGAGCTCTTGCGCTACTGAGCGAGATGTGGGAGGCGAAAGTGGAGCCAGGCGTCACCTATCTGTTTTAAGGCTAGGGGCACCGCGTCCAGGAACGGCGGGCGCTCTCGTGGCTACAGATCGGCCCCAGCGCGCCCCCTGCGCCCATAGGACCTTCGAAGCCCAAGAGGCCCCCTTCTTCTTCTTCTTCTTATTAGTATTATTATTATTAGTATTATTATTATTAGTATTATTATGATGTGTATTTGTATTTCTTTTATTCTTATTACTTTTTCTTCTTCTTCCCAAGGTAGGCTCGAAGCTTCTCAAGGAGTGGTGAAACTTTGCCAAGTGCGAGCGCACGCTCAGCGCTAGTTACTTCCCGTCGTGCATCGTGCGGCGGTCTTCACCAGTCCTGCAGCCAATGGTCCAACATGTCCCTCCCTGTACGCCTTCCAGCACGAGGCCCTGTCTTCCCTTTCCAGGGACTCCACCAGGTCGTCGGGGAAAGGCTCTACAGCCCCCGAGCGTAGCATCTCTGTGCATGCGTTGGGGGGGGGGGGAAATCCCGCGAGGTGACGGATGCAGCGGAAGCGCTGCCGGAAGTCTTTTGCGGCACACAGGGCAAACGCCGTCCGCCGAGACGTACCTCTTCGCTTCGTTCCTAACGACGTGCACGGCGCGCTTGTGTTGCACGAGTCCTAGTGTGGTTGCAAATGCTGGTGGATGTGGCCCAGGGCACATATCGCATGCGAAATTGAACTGTACCCCGTCCGGCGAGACATATATATGTATATATATATATATAATTGCCACACTTGCTCTCTGAGAAATGAAACGCATCAGCTATATCTTTCCATCGATGGTCGTGGCTGCGTTTCACGTGCAGCCACTGCCCTGCGTCTTCGCTGGGGCTTCCGACTGGTGCATCCTTACTGCTTAGAATCTGCACCGTGGTAAGGTCATCTAGCACGACCCGCGTATACGGCATCGATTTGCCACTGCGCTCCGACGACGGCAACGCAACAGGTGCGTCCTGCTGGAGAGGAGAAGCCCCCGCGTATACCTCAGTCCAGCCTGCATCACCAAGCAATCGGTGGTTGCTGCCCCCCGAGATTGCCGCACTTGCAGGTCCGTGCTCTGCCCTGGCCCACACCGGACCTTGTCCACAATGCGCTGGAGCACCCTCGTGTACCCTCGGTCCAGCGTCCGCACGAATTGCGCGTCAGGCGCTTTCCGTGCGCATGGAACATCTGCTTTGTCAAGAGGCGTACCTTTACGGCGTGCATCTCTGAAGGATAGGTATGCTAGGGGCACCAAAACGCACGTATCGGAATTGGCGCGTATGCGTCCATGGTTGTTGACGCCCTCTTCCCAGCATCGGATTTACATGTGCCCGCGATGGAAACACCAGCTTGATAGCATCGTCGTGATCTGATTTCACGTACGTGCCGTCCTCGTGCCTGTGCTGTTTCCAATGCGCGTTGGCATGTCTGCCCCTATACCGGAGCATGCACTCCGTCTTGCCCAGAGCCCAGTTGATCACCATTGCGAATAAGCTGACAGCCGGCACAAAATTCCCAGCAACATTTGCATATCACTTTCTAGAAGTCGTGGGGAAGCAGCCACTCAATGCATGCGTTGTCCACAAACGTGGCGTCGATCATGTTTTCCTCAGTGGCGGTTTTCTCGCCTTCGCCCTCGGCACTATCCGAGAAAGTCTTCTCCCCCGACCTCACCCGTAGGGCGATGCCTTTGCGCTTCATTCCTTCGTGGAGTACGTTGATCGGGACAGAGTATCCCGTGTTGGATACCGTAGCTCCGAAAATGCATTCCTGGCGCCCTCCCTTGTGCGACCGTGCAACTGTGTCGAGTGAGCCGTACGAGAACCATGACCTCTCGTGCAACCGCGCCACAGGGAAGGTAACCTTCGGTTCCAAGGTCTACGTCTAAAACATGCCGTCTTCAAAGCATCTATAATTACGACGCCAGCCACTTTGCATTTTCCCGGTCAACGCCGATGGACGCCAGATATTCGATTGGCGTTTCTTGGGAAGAGGCCGAGAAGCCAAATATGAGTTCGCAGATGATTCCGTCGAAAGTTTTCATTAAATCAATGAACGGCTCAAATATTGGCAGCAGTGCAGAGTCGCGTATTCTATCACGGGGCGAGCCAGGTGATGGGCCACATCAGTCCCAGGTCCTCTCATTGCGCCGTAGTGCGACGTTGGCAGGCAAGAGTTGTAGCCCGGTTCGATGCTCCAGCTTCTCTGGGAGCCGATGGACCCTCCTGCATGGTCAGACAACAACACTCCCCTGTAGTTGTCGCGCTCGTCATTAGCCCCCTTACTCTTATCAATCGCCTGCATACGGCCCCCCTTCCAATCGACAGGCCAAATTTCGCATTCCAAAACGCGTTTTTTTCGATTTCAAAATATTATCGACGCCCCACGGCGATGGCGTCTCCCCCTGCCTTCAAGAGCTCGGCGGGTATCTCGTCTGGGCCGACACCGCGATGCGGTTTTGGCTTGTGATAGGCCTGCACCCTCCGATCAGCCGACAGCTTGAGACTCGTAGTTTGTACGACATCTCGCGGCTCAGGAGCGCGCAGTAATGCTTTGCAAACGGTCGTCACTCTGAACACCTCGGCGAAGTGTTCTTGTCATCGTCCTCGGCTCTCTGGCTCGTCAGCGACGGGTTCGCCGCTCTTCTTTCGAATGGCAGGGCCCGAGGTCACCCGCTCCTTTCGGTTCAATGTGCCAAGTATGCGAACCGTGCGCCGCATGTCACTCGATTGCGACGCGCACTGGATCTCCCAGTCGGTGTCGTGCCACCAAGCGCTAAGATCTCTGTCGACCAGCCGCTACGGAGACACCCAACGCGTCCAAGACAAAGCGAGCGCCTGCCTTGAGATTTGCCACATGGTGCTGTTTGGCCCTCGCGGTCTTGCTCTGGCCGATTGGTTATCCAGGGTTTGGGATATGCATGTTGAATGACACGCGAGCAGATAAGAGCGAACAGTCTTAAAATGATTGTTGGTGTTGTCGTTGTCGTTGTCGTCGTCGTGGTTGTTGTTATTGTTATTGGATTTTCATTTCTGGAGAATAAGTATTGTTGATCCCCTCTCACCAGTGCATACCACTTTTTTCTCAATCAAAGTGTGCCCCTCGACGCTCGCACCATGTTTTTTGGCAGGGAAAATCTTGGTGCTCAAACTGTGCCCTTGGCCCCGGGATTACAACAACAACGGCTCCAGCTTGAGGCTTCTTCCAAATTTACTCAGGACCCCCGTTCCCGTCTGAGACTTCTCCCAAATTTACTCAGGACCCCCGCTCCCGCCTGAGACTTCGTCACAATTTACTCAGGAGCGGTGCTCTCGCCTGTGACTTCTTCGCAATTTAGTCAGGACCCCCGCTCCCATCTGAGACTTCCTCACAATTTACTCAAGAACGGTGCTCCCACTTGAGATTTCTTCGCAATTGAATGAAGACTTCGTTTCAATTTAACCCAGACCCCTGCTCCCGCCAGAGAACCCTTGACATTTTGTTTAGGAGTTGCGCTCTCGCCTGTGACTTCCATGGCATGTATTCAGAAATCGCGCTTTCGACACTGAGGGAACACGCTGCGCCAGGGACGCCGTCACAATTTACTTAGGAATCGCGCTCTTGCCATACTCAGGCATCCCGCTTGAATGTCCCACCCGCCCGACCCGCCCGTCAGGGGATCGCCCGCCCGTCGTGGCTTCCCGCCCGAGACTTCCTTCAGGAACGGCGCTTTCGCCGAGGACTTCCTCGAACGTTCACGCTCTTACCGTCCTGCTCCTTCGCCCTCTCCCTCCTCCCTCCTCCCTCCTCTCCTCTCTTCCCTCATCCTTATGCCTCTCTGCCCTATCACCTCTCCCTCCTCTCCCTCTTCCCTTCTCCCTCCCCTCTCCTGCCTCCTCCTTCCCTCTTTTTTTTCCTCTCTCTCTCTCTCTCTCTTTCTCCCCTCTCTCTCTCTTTCTCTTTCTTTATCTACCTCCCTTATATGTTTTGTTTTGTTTTCTCCCTCTCTCTCTCTCTTTCTCTCTCTGCCTCTAATCAACCGCCCCCGTCTTCGCTCCTTCTCTCCTGGCGTTCTCCCTCTTCCTTCGTCCCTTCCCCTCCCCCAATCTCCCTCGTTCTCCCCTCCTCTTGTTGTTGTTGGTTTTGTTATTGTTGTTGTTGTTGTGGTTGTGGTTGTGGTTGTGGTTGTTGTTGTTGTTGCTGCTGCTGTTGATGTTGATGTTGATGTTGTTGTTGTTGTTGTTGTTGTTGTTGTTGGTGTTGGTGTTGTTGTTGTTGTTGTTGTTGTTGTTGTTGTTGTTGTTGTTGTTGTTGTTGTTGTTGTTGTTGTGAGAACATGTTGGAGTTCTTAGAACATTTCGTGGTAGGCCTATAAGAATGCCGGGACGGTCGGTCCCTGCTCAACTCCTGTTCCTGCGTCACCGTCGCACAGGCCAGCTGGAGCTTGTTCGCCATCGCATCGATTTCGGATACGCTCTTTGTGCACCTGTCCAGCGCGCCCTTGCACGAGTCCAGCTGGGCGCCAGGCGTTTTGGACTTCACGATCTTCATTCGGGCCGCCTCCGCAGCCCTCGTCAGCTCTACTCTCGCTGAGGCGTGCTCTGGACCGGGCGGGAGGTTGGCCAGTGCCGCATCCACTTGCTTCACCTCGCTATTGTCCGCTCCGGGATGCGAACGAGGGAAGAGCGATTGCTGAGCCGAAATGTTCGCCACCTGGCTGGAGAGTTTGCTGATCTTAGTCCTGACCGGGTGGTCGGTGTGGCCGTCCTTGACGTTCACGTGCCCGGTCACAATTTGCGCTCAGGTCTTTTTGCACCCGCATTGCGGACACTTCTTCTTGTCCGCGGTATTCCATAAGCTGCAATGCTACCGTGATGGAGACTGAGACCCCCTATCCCTGGCCATGCGACGCGTACCACGACTGGCGTCTTTCCGTTTTGGACCGTTGCGCCATGCTGAGTCGTAGCGGGGGTATCTGGCGGTGGCGCTACTTTCAGCATAAGTCCCTTGGGTCCTTGGGCCCCAAGACAGCTTGAGCCCCCAAGACGGCTTGGGTCCTTGGGCCCCAAGAGAGTTCCAAGACGTTCCAAGCGAGGCGCTAGACGCTAGACCGCCCAAGCCCAAGTGGGCCCCAAGACGGGAGAGCTCCAACACAGCCCAGGAATGCCTCAAGGCGGCCCGAGATGTCCCGAGTGGCCCCAAACACGCCCCCAGGCGCCTCCAAGGGGACCCTGAGAGGGCCTCCAGGATCGGCAGCAGTTGATCTCTTTGGTGCTCGAGGGTTGCCGGGATGCTCGCTTCTTCGGCTCTCGAGGCGCCCAGAACCGCCCAAGAAGCCCTCGAGGATCGGCCCAACATGGCCCAGCATGCCCCCGAGGGAGCCCCAAGGCGGCCCAACAGGGCTCCAGGGCGGCCCAGCAGGGCTCCAAGAGGGCCCAAGCGGCCGCCGAGATGTTCCGACGACGAGTCCGAGGCGGCCCAGGAACGCACGAAGGCAGCCCCAAGGCACACCCTGAGCGTCTCTGGAGGCCCCGTGGGAGCCTCATAAGCCCCAAAGAGGGCCCATGACACCCCCGAGAGGCCCCGACAGACATGTCGAGTGGCCTCCCCCCACGAAGCACCAAGAGATACCCCCGAGGTCCTTCCCGCATCTTCCCTCCTCGGCTCTCCCTCCTCCATCCTTGCCCCTCTGTCCTCGGCCGTCGCGACTCCCTTCTCGCGCCTGGCTATTCGCGAACTCGCTCCCCTCTTCTTCTCCCTCCCTCCTCGATCCCCTCGATCCTGACTCACCGATTCTCTCCTGGCAGCAGGTTACACCAGCAGGTTGAAGTAGCGAGACACAGCACAGTTTAGCATCAAGCAGCAACAGCGCGAGGCAGCAGCACGAAGCAGACATCAACAGCGGTGGAACACAACAACAAGCAGCAGCACGCACCAAGCAGGACTGGCCATCAGCACCCTGCAGCCACTAGTGCCATCACGCAGCGGCAAGCATTCCCAGACGCACGCTACCGCGGAAGCAAGTAGTAGCGTGGAATGCGAGTGTCGAGCCCCACCTTCTCATTCCAGCTTTTTGGCATTATGTCCACAATCGCATGTTACGTCATGCAGATGTTGTGCACGTAGTCCATGGGTCAGCCATAGTCAGCTACAACGCTGCGATCAGCGCATGCGAGAAAAGCGAGCAGTGGCAGCAGGCTTTGATGCTGCTCGACGAGATGTGGGAGGCGAATGTGCTCCCCAATGCTATCAGCTACAACGCTGGGATCAGCGCGTGCGAGACTCAGTGGCAGCAGGCTTTGTCGCTGCTCGGCGTGATGAGGGAGGCGAAGGTGGTACCCGACGTCACCTCTCCTCCTGGACGGCAGGCGTACTTGCGCGCGAGAGGGACCTGGGGGCCGATTGAGTCCCTGGGCCCCCTGGGGCGGCCTCAGAGCTCACGGGGCGCTGCGCGACGGCCCCGAGACGCTCCCGAGGGTGCCGAGGCGGGTCCAGAGGACTCGCAGAGACCCCCAAGACGGCCCCAAAGGGACCCCCCAGGCCACGAGGCCACCAGGACAGCCCAGGAGTTCCCTGCCGACGCCCCCACAAGACCAACGGTTTTCGACGGATTTGCAGTTTCTCGCCGCTTCGGGGCAAGAGCGGCCCCAGACGGCTCCGGGGGCTTGTCAGATCGCCCCGAGACGGCCCAGGAGCTCCGAAGCGGGCCCCACGACGGGCCCAGGAGGCCGAAGGACAGCACAAGAGAGTCCCAAGGCGGCTCATGCGAGCCCCAAGAGGCCCTCAAGACGGCCCCAAGAGGGCTGACGAGCTACTAAAGAGAACCCGAGGCGCGCTCCACGGTGGCCCCAGACTCCCAGCACTACCCCAAGATGGACCAGGCGCCTCCCAAGACAGCCCCGAAGGGGCCCCAACTGGCCCGACTGTACCCCGAGCGGCCCGGGAGAGGCTCCTGGGATGCCGCGAAGAGGGTTCTGCCGATAGGCAGCAAGTCCAAAACTATCTCAAGCAAGCACTCCCCTACGCGAATGCCCCCAGGATGCCCCGAATACGCCCCGAAACAGCACCCCAGGGAGGCTGAAAGACTAGTTCACAAAAGTGCAACGGCCTTCTCGGCAGCCCCATTGTCGGGGGCCTCAGGAGCGGCCAGCACACGAATCTCCCAGTTGGACGCGCGTGCGGTCGAGCACTTGGTCTTCGCTTGAGTCGCTCGTGTAGTCCTTTTGGGACCACCATGGGGCCTCTTGGACCATCTCGGGGCCATCTTGGAGGCCGAACGGGCCCACCTTGGGCCATCTTGCGTGCGTCTTGGGCCCTGGCCCCCCCAGGGGCTCTTGCGACGTGGGCCCCTCATCTAGCCGCGCGCAGAAGGGGGGTATGGGGGAGGGGGGGGGATCTTCAGAAGGAGGCTGCTTCTGAGAAGGCGCGGGCCTTGTCTGTAGATGGAAGGCCCGCACCTTCCAAGAAGCTGCCTCCTCCCAAGAAGCCTTCCCGCCTCCCCCTACCCCCCTGTCATATCTTCGCGGCGAGGACTATCGAGGAGCATCCTGGATCATCGGGCAAAGAACGCGTACGATACCGACACCTGCACGGAAAATGGACGTCCGAGAGACGGCAGGTTGCGTGCACCGCCAACTCAGGCCCGCTTGGAGGCGTCTCGGGCCTCCAGGGTCGAGGTTGGGGCGCCTCTAGCCCTCGAGGGCCCCCACCCTTCACCGCACTGGCGGAACTCGGCTCGCCCCTGCCGCCGCGACTCCTCCGCGCTTTCCCGCCCCAAGCGGCCTGGACAGGAAGCGCCCAAAGTTGCTGGGACTCGAGATGCGGGGGTCAATGCAAAGGGGGGTCAGTCAGAGCGCCGGATCTTGCAGGATCCTGCAGGGCCAGGGCTGCACTGACCCGGGCTCGGGTGCAGGATCCTGCACGATCCTGCAGGGTCTGGCAGGATCTTGCAAGGCCCGGCTGGCCCAGGTTTGGATTGACCCCGGGCCAGTAGATCCTGGAGCTGTGCTTGTGTTCCTTGCTCCGCTTCTTGCCGGCACTGGGCCCGGGGTGCAAAGGGGGGCGCCGGAAGCGTCCCCAACGGCCGTCAGAGGCCAGAGGTGCTCGCCGAAAGTTCATTCCGTCGGCCGCCGCCGCCGCCGTCGTCGTGCGCGTCTGGCGGCGCCTACAGGCGGTGGATGGGGGTGCCGGCGCAGCTGGGGGTGCTGCTGGAGGCGGTCCCTATAGCCTACTTTACAACGCCGGCGGCGCCGCGTGCGGGAAGGGCGGGGGACCCACTGGCTCAAAATCGCGCCAGCCTGGCGGCCCCGTCTCCTCCCCTCCTCCTGCCTGTGTCCCCACCGGTATCCCGCGCGCTGGTAAAACCGAGCTACTCCGACAACGGCCCCCGCTCCATCCTGCCCGATCCTTCCTCACCATTCACTCCGAGACGCTGTGGCCCTTGGCCAGAGAGGCTCCGAGCTCAGACACGGCGCTCTCGCTCGAGACGTCCTCGCAAGCTTCTCGAGTTGGCCACGGCCCAGCTGCGACCAGAGCGGCGCCCGCTCAACGCTTCCTCACAGCTTAGCTCTCTTCCGACGTCCTCGCCAGCAGGCCGCCGCGCTCCCGCTCGACGCCCTCGGCCCGCGGGCGCGGCACGGGCCCAGGGGCTGGCTCGGCAGGAAGGTGGAGCGGCCGCGGCGAGGCGACGAGCCGGCAGCGGCCTGCGCCCCGGCTCGCCCCGCCTGGGGCCCTGCTGGCCTCTCCAGCCAGGGTGCCCTGGGTTTTCGACGGTTTTGCGATGGGCATCGTGACGCTCCCACACCAGAAAAATCAATGGGACGTCCTGGGGTCTCAGGGTTGGGTCTCTTGTGGAAGGTGCCTCGTGGACTGGCCTCCCACTGTAATCCGGGGTTCCGCCGTTCACCCTGAAACGGTCATCCGGGGGGCTCGGGCCGGGGGCGCTGAGGCGTCCGTGAGCCAGGCGAGGATGCGCCCGGCGAGGACTGGCCCGCCCTCCCGGCGGCCCCGGCTGGGGCCCAGAGTTCGAGTCCGCTGCCTGCGCTTGAATCTCCAGGGCTCCGCTGGCCCCCGGAATTTCGTTTGGGGAGCCAAGCATCTCCCTGCAGGAAGCAGCAGCAGGCAAGCGGCAATAACCAGCACCAGGCAAAAACTAGCACAAGCACCTGTCCCCAGCAAACCGTTGCCGCAGGCGGCAGTAGAAGAAAGACGAAACGATAAACCGCAACTGGCAACAAGCAGGCAGCACTCAGCAACAGCAAGCGGCTGTAAAAGGCACCAGGCACAAGCAAGCACGCTTGCCCAGACGCCGCTCGCCTCCTCGAGCAGATGTCGTGGACGTAGTCCACGGGTCTGCCCTAGTCAGCTACAGCGCTGCGATCAGCGGGAGCGAGAAAGGCGAGCAGTGGCAGCGGGCGCTAGCACTGCTGGGCGAGATGCGGGAGGCGAAGCTGGAGCCCGACGCCATCAGCTACAGCGCTGGGGCCATCGCTTGCGACAAGGGCGGGCAGTGGCAACAAGCGTTGAGCATGCTCAAGACCATGCGTTCGAGAAAGGTTGATGTTGATTTTTGTACCTACGGCACTGCAGCCACCATGTGCGAGCAAGGGGGGCGATGGATCCAAGTGCTGTCGTTACTCGCGGAGATGCGTTGCCGATTGTTCGGACAAGCTGTGCGTTCCAGTTGTATCGCTGCACCCAGCGCATGCGACATGGGCGAGCAATGGTAGCGGGCTGCGACGTTGCTGAGCGAGGCGTGAGAGGCGAAGCTGAAGCCCGACGCCGCCATCACCCCTTCAATTCTGAGACAGAGGGTCTCTGGGCCAATCGCGCCCCGGGGCTCTCCTGGGGGCTGCCCTGAGCGCCCTCGGCGCTGCCTCTCCGGGCCCCTGGCGGCCACGGGGCGGCCCAGCATCTGACCGGGCCCTGGATGCTCCATCGGCCCCAAGAGTTACTTGGCAGGGCCCCCAAGAGACCCCAAGCGGTGCCAAGAGGCCCATCGACGTCCCAAGAGGCCTTCCAGGAGCTGTCCAGCAGGCCACGGGAAGCAAACACGAGGCTGACACGTAAGTCGGGCATGTCCCTCGACAGGAGGAATATTCCAAAATAGTAGAAGCAATCCGCTGCGGAAGATTTTCTACTATTTTGATGTTTTGAATGTTGTTCCCTACCTAGGCTCTGCCTAGAAGGGTTCTACTCGGTAAACTTAAAGGGCCGGGCAGTGCACCTCGCCCCGGGCGGTTCCCCCAGTATCCGCCCCGCGGTTCCCCCAGTTACGTCCCCTCAGCTTAGCGTTGCTTATCTCATCTTAGCTTAGCTTATTTAATCGCTTCGCTCATTCCGCCGGCCCTCGAGCGCTCTATGGGGCCTCTTTGAAGCCTCTTGGGGGCCTCTTTGGGGCCTCCTAGGGGCCTCAGCTTAGCTTTGCTTATCTCATCTTAGCTTAGCTTATTTCATCTCAGCTTAGCTTAGCTTCATCTTAGCTCAGGCTTATCTCAGCTTAGCTCACCTAGCACAGCATAGCGTAGCACAGCACAGCGCATTACAGCATGTCATAGCAAAGCCCAGCATAGCACAGCACAGCATAGCATAGCATAGCGCAGCACAGCACAGCACAGCATAGCACAGCGTAGCATATCATATAAAATCATAGCTTAGCATAGCACAGCGCAGCATGACATAGCCTAGCTTAGCACAGTCTAGCATAGCATAGCATAGCATAGCATAGCATAGCGCATCATAGCATAACATAGCATAGCGCAGCATATCATGGCATAGCATAGTATAGCATAGCATAACAACTACTGCTGCTTTCCTAGGGGCTCCAACTTCTAGGCAGGGTCGCACTGGGGTAATTTGGCTATTTGCATTTTCCTTCCAACATCCGCCTGCAGGAGAACATGCCCGACCTAAGCTTAAACCCAAAGGGCATTTATGCATCATGCCCCTCAGGCTACTCGACGCGAGACAACTCCGAGACGGCATCGGAGGAAGATCTCGGGCCCCTTGCGGGCCACCTTGGGGCCCTCTTGAGCTCCCCTTCTGGGTTTCTTGGGCTGTCTTCGGGGCCTCCAGGAGCCGTCTTGGTCAGTCGTCGGGCCGTCTTCGGGCCCTCTGGACCGCCTTAGAGTGCCCCAAGGGAGCCCCAGGACGGCCCCTGGAGGGCACCCTGAAGGCCCGACACGCTTCGCAAGAGAGCGCCACGACGACGAATGCAAGCCAGCAGCGGCCAGAATCAGCAGTTGGCAGCAGGAACCGGGCAGCCGCAGCCTTGCCTGCGGCAAGCCAGCGGCCATCCTCCGCAGAGAGCTCTCGGACCGCGCTGGCCACCCAAAAGAGCCCCATGAGCGACCCAAGAGGAGGCGAGATGTTCGTCCTCCTGCACGGCGAGGCCGTGTGCTTGCCTCTTCCCATGCCTCCCTTCTCGCTCCTCGCTCCTCGCACTCTCGCCGCCATCTCTTCGCAACTGGCTCCGCTCTGCTCACTCCTCCTCGCTACTCCCTCCTCTCTCCTGGCCCCTCGTTTCTCACTTCTGGCTACTGGCCTTTGCCTACTCCCTCCTCTTTGGCTCTGCATCATTTATCTCCGCCCATCTCTCTCCTCGGCCGTCGCTCCTCCCTTCATGCTCCGTGCTCCTCGCTATTTTTGTCTCGCTGATCGTTCATCGCTTCCCCCACCTCCCCACTCGATCCTGACTTTTCGTTCCTTGCTCCCCGCCCCCCGCCCCACTCTCGAGCTGCAGGTTGCGTCATCGATCAAGGGTACCGAAAAGCAGCAGCAGCACGCTACAGCCTCAAACAGCAACAGTGAACAACAGCAGTCCGCAGCATGCAGCGGCAACACAGCAAGAGTCAGCAGAAACAACATGCCGCAGACAGCAGCACCCTGCAGCTGCAGGCATCACCTGCAGAGGCGACTCCAGGGCGGAGTGGACTCGCCTCCATGGCGGGCGCTGCGCCCAAACTGGACTGCGTGCGCTGCGACGTGCATCGCCTCGCGGTGCTGTGGGCGGGGAGTGTGCAGGCGCCGCGCCGCGCGACGCGAGCAACGACGCAGCCGTCGTCGTCGCTGCCGCGAGCAGCGACGCCACCGCCGTCGTCGCCGCCGCCGTCGTCGCTGCCGCCGACGCCGCCGCCGTCGCCGCCGCCGCCGTCACCGCAACGTGGACATCGGGCATGTGCCGTGGCCGGTAGGCCACGGGCCGGCCCCAAGTCTCTTCTGCACTGCAGGGGCATTTTTTTTCCGAGACGGGCCGCTGCCCTGAAGGGCCGCCTGGGCCCGCTGGGGCGCCCTGCGAGCTTCGCGGGCGCTCCGGGACGGCCCCGGGGGGCCCCAAGATGGCCCCGAGACGGCCCCAGGACGGCTCTGAGACGCTTCAGAGGGCGCCCAGACGCCCCAGGTGGACCCCCAGCGAGCCCCAGGATGGCCCCAGAGGCTTCCCGAGGCAGGCCAGGAGGCTCCCGAGACGGCCCAGGAGGGCCCCCAGGAGAGCCCCAAGAAGCAACAATCGCCCCATCTGTTTCGGAAAACGTATATAACGTATATTTCTATATATGTTCGTTCTTTCCGTTTGCACGGTCTCCAAGACGGCTGTGCAGGCCCCCAAGATCGAGGAGGGTCCTAAAACTGCCCGAGACGGCCCCGGGACAGCTCCAGAGGCGCCCGAGATGGCCCAAAAGGCACCCAAGACAGCCCCGCCCAAGACGGCGCCAGATCGCCTCAAGACGGCCGAAGAGGCACCCAAGACGGCCCAAGACGGCACCGAGAGACCCCCAGGAGGACGAAAAGAGTCCCCAAACGGCACCCAAGAGGCCTTGGATGCTTGTCTCTCGGGGAGCGTCGACGACTTACGATATAAGATCGACGGGATGAAGGATCGAGGGAAGGAGGAGGAGGAGGAGGAGGAGGAGGAGGAGGAGGAGGAGGAGGAGGAGGAGAGGACGCCCCAAATGGCCCCACGTCCGTGTGCAAAACGTCCGTGTCAATAGCGTGCTGGCTCAGCGTATTGGCCCACGTTTTGGCGAACGCATCGCGCCAAACGCATCTTGTCAATTCACGTGTTGAGCTCCGTGCCCGAAGGTCCCGAATCCTCCGAAATTTCGGATTGGGGGGTGTACGGGTTACATCTGGTTGCATTGTCATGTCTCCATGTTTCCGAACGCCCCCCCAGATGGAAATGGACAGGCCCAACGGCGACATCGGGTTGGGTTGGGTTGGGGTGGTTCGGTGGGCAGTCAGCTGGAGGCCCCAGTGCACCAGGCGCTTCCAGACCAGGCGGAGGTCCGCAGAACCTTCCGATCTGGGCGTTGCGCGTCCTTCACGGCCCAGAGATCCGAGGATCAGACTTTTCAATCTGGTGGTTTCTCCTGGATTCCGGCCTCTGGGGCCCTTTCTCGGGCCCGGGATCCGGGACGAAAATCCACCTTTGGGGAAGGAGCCGCGGTTCTCTGGGGCCGCGGATTGAAACAATTATACCGGCGGATGTCTGGAACTGGGCGTTTCGCGCTTGGTTTCGGGCATGGAGACCTCCACAGATCGACCTGGCTCGAAAAAGGGGCAGCAGAAGGATGGGGTCGAGGGCTCCGGTCGCGAGTTTTCGCGATGTTGCCATGTTTTCGCCGCGCCGGGTCTCAGGGAGAGGCTTCGGCGTGAGTCCCCGAAGGGGCATCTGGAGGTCCCCGCGCAGGCCCGCAGAGGTCCGCGCAGGCCACGTGGTTCCCCGGTGGCCTCTGGAAGTCCCCCCTGGGGACTCCTGAGGTGCCCATGAGGCTTCCGCTCAGCGGCTCGCTCCTGGTCACCACATGTTACGCGTGCTGATGGAACGCCGTAAGCTTGGCGTAACTGCCACAGGTAGGGCGTAAGCCGCGCGTAGCTGTCATCAGCAGGGCAAGTCTTGCTCGAGCAGGGCGCAGGGTGCGACTCGTGGACGTCTGGGACTTACTGATTGGGCCCAGGATGAGCCCAGCCAAGGTCGGTGAGGTGGGCTGACGTACTCCGATCCTGCTCAAATCATAGCTCTGTGGGCGGTCTGCTGAGCGGTGGAGCCTGCTGCACGCTCCAGTGCACGAGCAGGCTGTGACCAGCTGCAGGCCCAGCGGCGCGGCAGCAGCGCGCGGCGGCCGCCCGTAGGCATTTCGCTCGGCGAGGTGGGCGAGACAAGAGAGGACGACATCGCTGTCCTCCTCCTCCTGCTCATCGTCCTCCTCCTTGCTGGCGCTAGTGCGGACCTTGCCGACGATGCTGACCGCACGTTTGCGAGGGTGGGCGCCCTGTCGTTGAGCCTTCAGCCTTCCCTTGACGGGGCGAGCCTTTCCATTCTGGCGGTTGCTTTTTTTTCCTCCGCTTCCTCGTACTCCTCCTCGCAGACACGTCCACTTCTGCTTGCCCTCCTCCTCCTCCTCCTCCTCCTCCTCATCATCAACATCATCATCATCAACATCAGCATCAGCATCAGCATCATCATCATAATCAGCATCATCATCATCAGCAGCATCAGCATCAGCTTCAGCATCATCACCATTATCCTCATCATCATCATCATCATCATCAGCAGTAGCAGCAGCAGCAGCAGCAGCAGCAGCATCATCATCATCATCATCATCATCATCATCATCATCCAGCAGGTATTTGTTCCCAGACGCAACTTTTTCAGCCATCTGATCCGTCTTGACACGGCTGCGAGGCGCGCGAGCATACGCGAAACCGCCGATCAGGACGCCCCATTTTTTGT